GGGCTGCATTCTTACTGTGGTCAAGTTGATTTTTCAGCTTGCCTGGTATAGATTTACTCAGTGTAGCAACATCTTAGTAATTTCTCCTGTGTATGATTACCATCAACATTAGATTTAACACCAGCCTTGTATCTTACAGTTCAGTTCTTATGTACTTTGGTGTAAAAGGTTTTAAGCAATATAACTTGTAGAAGTTACTGTTAAGTAAAATGTTTTGGCAACACAGCGTATTGTCCAGTGCACATGGTTAAAGATGTGCTACCTTCAAATATTTTCTGTTCTTCTTTTTAGTGTTGGAAAGTTCACGATTGGCAAATTTCAAGCTGTAGTAAATGCACAACCTCGAAAACAATTTTTGTATCTTTCATGATGTAGTCCTGAAAGCAATTTGTTCGAACATGAAGACCTTCAAATGTGTTTTCTGTTTGATCAAAGGCCTTAAAGAAACAAAACTGCTTCCTGTTATCATCTAGGTCATTACATTGGATGGCATTTGTGCATGTAGGACAGTTGCAGATCTTAATAAATTTATGGAACTAAATTATATGGATTTATGGAACTAAAATCAAATTAAATATGGATTTATGGAACTAAAATCAAATCAAAGTGTTGTTTACATTTTTGGGGTTGTACAACTTGTACATAGTAGAATACACTAGATGTTAAAGTTTCATTTACTTGGTTCCCTTTGTAAAAACAACACTACAACTTACATGCACCAACATCAGATTTGTTGCAAGTTGAAACCAGTTTTATTGCCTGATATATTTTACTCTGCCAACAAGTCTTAATAACAACTTACATGCACCAACATCCGATTTGTTGCAAGTTGAAACCAGTTTTATTGCCTGATATATTTTACTCTGCCAACAAGTCTTAATAACTAAGGGGCTATTTACATGAGCCCGACTAGTCCTGTTAACCGAGGCACCCAGCTTAATACAAATCATTTAACAAGAATCTGCCTAGCCGAGATCTCACTTGAGTCAAAGGGGATGCCCGAATAACCGGGCTGAACTTTCTCCATGTAAAGTCACCAGCTCAGGTAACCTCCTGGCTAGCCAGGCCTTCAGCCTGGTTAACCGGGCCAGCCTGCATGGCTAGCCGGGCTCATGTAAACAGCCCCTTAGATGATAGCAACAATAATATACTTGGTGCTAAATGTAACATAAACTTGAGTAACAGAGAAAATTCTCATATTCAGATTATTTTCCCCTCATTGTAGAGTAAACTGTTAATATGTATGTTAAAAACTAGAGTGTATATTAGAATCTCACAGATTTATAATTTAAACTGTCGTTAAGATAAATCAGGTCTTTTATTGTCTGTTTTGTAAATGAAGTTCCCTGATTCATCCAAGCATTGATCTTTAAACTATTTTTCCAATATCAATGAACAGTCATGATAATGTCATAGGAGGCCTTGTCACTTGTGATACCAAATTTGTAAAGTCACAGCCAAAGGATTTGAATAGGTTCAAGTCAATATATTATCCCTAAAATTCATTTTTGAAGAAGAAGTAGGTCCAGCAATTTCTTTCATATCGCAATATTATTTTATATTAAACGATTGTAGGCCAATATGCCAAGTTGAATTACACTGTATTGAATAGTTGATCACAGATTCACAGAAGGTTCGATGAACTCAATTTATTTCCTTCATTGTTCATGGCATTCACGTTCTTAATCCTTTTGTACACCATGAAATATCACCAACCTATCACTCAAAACATATTTTACGGCGATCGGACTAACCACACATAAGCTATATGTTTATCACTATTCGCCAAAGACCGAGGTGAAATTAATCGATGTATGACAATGGCCAAATACCACGCTTAAATTCGTTTCTTATCTTCATAGTGACAATTAAATCAAAGAACAACCTCTTCTTTATGATATTTCAAAGTATCATGAGTTTTGCTTGGATACATAAAAAGCTAGAGCACTTTTAGTGGCTCTATTTCGTATTCCGCCATATTAACTCCTATAAAATTTCCTCTGGTTTGGTTGCTTTCAACATGGCGGCCACGCCGGAAGTCGGCTGACATTCTGGCACACTTTTTACCCTTGAGTGAACCTTCTGCCCTATATCTATTCTGTGACGTTGGGAGGTAGAAACATTGTAACAGCTTGCGCATTAATACGTCTGCTTCAGATGACTCCATTTGTAATGACTAAGATTGTACTCAGTCAGAACTGCAAAGCTATATAATAGGAAGGAATTTGTGAGCATTTGGAAAAATATAGTGTACCCTGAAATGTAGTGACACAGGCACACAACCACGGTGAATATATGAATGTAGGTTGGTATGATTATTTCATATTTATGCTAACAATAGACATCTCAGAGATATATTTTTACAGACCGCCATACCTTGTACAAAAATCGGTTGACATGTTATATTAATACATGTAGGCTATTAAACTGCAGGTATAAAGTTAATATATGCAGACAACAATCCACACTGTTGTCTGTCGCTGGGTTATTAACTGCATGGGTTCAATGGCAGGTTGCTATACATTATAAAGTATACACAACATTCAGTGTTTGTTTTTAAAACGTTCTGAAAGCAAATTGCTATGTCTATGAAGATCTAGAATGAACACTAAACTCATCGCTTTGGCACATCGCCACACAAACAAATATAAAACCAAAAGCAGCTACATCATTTTGACTCCTAAATATATTAAAAAGACAATCTATTGTTTCAAATACCTCGTATCGAACGCTAAACATCAGATCTAAATATAAATGCCTTCATGTAATATCACCAGAAAGAAATAAAGCTATCCTTACCTGAATTACTCAAAATATTGTCGATTTGTGAAAATCCAACATATATCATGCAAGTGCAATACAAAATAAATTTTGACCGCTACCACCCCCCCCCCCCCTTGTTTAAAAAACACATCATGAAGCCTTAATTATTTCCCCGGAATTACGACATCTTTACAAACAGACAGACACAAATTCTCAAATCGAAATCTCAATCGACTATACATAACTCGGCCAAAGAGACTGGACACAAGTAAACGCCAGTGAACTGTAATACCACTGGAACGCTAACTGCAGATAAACATGCCCATACTTGCCTGAAGCCAAGATGGCACTTCTCGCGAGCTCAGCGAGCAATAAATTAATTTTCAAAAGGACTGGGGAGAGTTTTGAGGAATGGGAAATTCAGTCAAAAGTTTGTTTTTGAGCGAAAATCGAGAAGAAAAAGCACTTTTTTATCAAAAGTCTTCAACTTTAAAAATCCAAACCTGGTTTTCTAAATAGTGTACATCCACTAACAGCAAAAACGAACAGGACGGATATCATTAATCATTATAGAAAACAGTATTGGACCTTATACTGTTCCTTGAGGAACTCCACGATTTATAGGCGAATATTCTGTTTTTAACGCCATCAACAGTACTTAGGTAAACGTATAATATTAAGTTATGCATGCTAATATCATTTTGGGCCAGAACCCACCAGGCTTTAATAAAAAGGTTAACGAAAACTACTATTCAATCAACCATCAAAATAATTACTTAATCGACCCTTTTGATAATTACGTCACTCATCTCACCTTGGCCTGCAGAGCCTCATTCTCGTGTTACGAAATGTGATGTTTGTCAGACATGTTTAGATGCCAAAAAGATGTAAAAACATTTTTTTAATAATAATACAGGTTATAGTATATAGGCCAGTGATCACTTTCCTCAAATAAAAACATATTAGAGCACTCAGTCCAGGTAAACTATACAGGTCAGTGGATTTATTACAAGATATATTATAAACAGTGAACTCTGTATTTAAGAAATAAAAAACATTCAAATAAATTTGAATAAAATTGAATTGAAAAGCAGCGGGAAATTTTCATGTTGACATCAGAAAGATTATAAATAACACTAGAGGGGGCATCGAGGGTAAAATTGGGGAGCGCGGCTAATGGGGGCAAATTTAGATCTGTATGTACACCACGCAATAGTTTGCTTTCACTTGAAACCACAAAATTTTAATACTAAAATTACAAAACTTGGTGTTTTATAATATGTTTTGTATATCATTTCTGCAAGTATTCACCAAAAATTTTGAATTGCTACGATAAAATCAAAATTGCTGATGTCAGCATTATTTTGCAACGTTCTCAAAACTGTGTTACACACGAAATTTAGTTTAAAATGTTTGGTAAGGTTAAGACGGGACTACTTATCTGACATAAACAAAAATCTAGAGATTTTGGCTCAAACTCTAGCATTTCAATCTAGCACAACTTTATTCTAGCATTTCATTTTTTGCCCCGTATTAGACATGTTCCCTTTTTTGGTCTGATTAAAAGATTACGATGCCCCCTCTAGTGTTATTTATAAATCTCTATGGTTAATTAAAGAGTTTCATACCACAAAGGTGTTTACATTACAAGAAAGCAAGTTGGAATATATGGAATACTCTGCAGTTTCCTTGGGGAATGGTGTTAGAACAAGAGACAATATCATAACCACAGGTGAACTGAACTATTAAATATCCTTTTTTAATATTTTGGTGAATGAATTCTAACTCATACTGTTATTCATGTTCTAGTGCAATATTATACTATTATCCCATAAACATGTTTGGTTAGTTTTGAGTTTTGGATGCCTGGTAGCTTCAGCAACCATGTTGTGGAATAAGAGTGAGGAAAGTATGAACGTGCGAAGAACGTTTGCTTGCATCTTCATACTCTATTTTGTGTTAGAGCCTTTGAAAGAATTGCCTCATTAGATGATGTTGCTGGGGTTTTGTCATCTGCTGGTGCTGTTTCCCAAGGAAGAGAGGAATTTAAATTGTTGGACTGCAACCAAACCCAAAGAGAAAACTCAATCAAGCTAGGTGCAAAGCAGACTGTGCCTTATCATATACCACCAGCACTATTAAGACAAATTGATGAAAGAAATGCTGGGGCAACATTGGAGTGGCCAAAGGAATTTATTCCACATCAGGAAAATTGTGGTTTATGTGGTAGTCCACTAGGCAAACCAATAAAGCACTCCGGGAGTGATGGTACAGCCACCTTAATCACATCTTCAGTGTGTTTTAGAAATGTTGAAATACGTGTGAAGGTGTGTTCTAACAAAGAATGCAAAGCTATCAACAGAGAACAACCATATGAATTAGGTGAGTATTGTACAGTATATTTTAATACTGCAATACTATACATATGATATCATTGGTGGTTGTAATGTATCAACCTAGTGTGGTAACTCTGCTCTTTTGGGGGAAGGGGTGAGACACTAGGTTAGAAATGTTTTAGAATGCTGTCCAGACATACAGTGCAAATTTAGTACCAGTACTGGCTTCTGGGAGTTTTTCAAAACCCTGACTTCATTCATTGCACTTTACTCTATCTGATGTCAGACTATTTTATACTCAAGACTGTTAATTAAGACTTAACCATAATAATGTATATTTGAATAACCCATCAAGGTGCAACGTCAGCCCTGGTGTTGCATTTAATTTGTTATTTTACTCTATATATTGCTAGACAAGTTTGATTCATCAAATGAAATTAATTACTAAATTACTATTAAATAGTAATTTTCTTATGTTTTGATAGGTTTGTTCAACATTGCAGACTCAGTTTTGGTTAGCATGGACATTTTATTGGAGTGGAAAGAGTATTTGAAGTTGGGTCAACCAATTTCAAATGTTATTGCAGCTAAGTTGGAACTATTAAACAAAAAACGTTGACTATGTAAGTGCCATTTGATGGGTTAATGTGTGAGGTTAATTTAAAATTTGAAAGTTTTTCCTACCAGGCAATATTAATTTGAATCACAATTTTTATAATTGAAAAAAGTACATTTTAAATGAAGTGCCTTTACTTTATTTATAGGACAGCAGATTATCTACAGAAAGGCTAAACTACTTCAATCTGCTGCTTTATAATGGATTCTACTGTTATGAAGCCATTACACAAAGAAATTTAGATGATGTTATATGTGGGATTTCTGGAATAATAGGGGAGGTATATCTTGGTGATGGCAATGAAAAAAACTGTTGCAGCAACCAGAATGTAAGTACCATAAAAATGTCTTAGGTCATATAATAGTAGTTGTCATAAGCATGGATGAATTTACTGGGAGGAGTGAGGGGAGTGCAGAGCCTCTCTAGCCTTTGCCAAAGGGAGTGCAAGAGGCGTGCAAATTTTGTTATTAGGGGTGCACTGGATTTGGAATTTTCAAATCAGGCCGGATTTGGACAAAAATTCCGGCCGGAATTCCAGCCGGATTTGAGATAAACACACGGTAATGGGGACAATTGGGGATAAATCAGTATTCAAAATGGCGGTTTATGTTTTTTACTATTTTTAGTTAGTGTCAGTTTAGATTTTTGGTTGTGTTTAAACCTTTTTTAAATATCTTTTTGTTAATAACTTAATATTTTATAATAATAATACTGTTTTTTAAACTTTAAAGCTGCCAAATTGATGGTTTATCCCATTCTTGGTGAATTTTTAAGGTGAACACAGAAATTTAAATGCAGCTGGATTTTCTCCAAATCTGGCTGGATGCCGGAAAATTCGTTAAATCCGGCCGGATTTGAAATCCGGTGCACACCTAGTTATTATATCAAATTGTTGATATTATAAATGTAAGGCAATTACTACAGTCATCTCTCATTATATAGCGGATGCCCTGGGGACTGTCAAGTGTCATGTATTGTCCGTAACAGGGTCTGTGGAGCATTTTTCGGATTGGGGGGGGGGGGCTAGCGAACACCAAAGGCGTGAGGCTTACTAAGAGAGTCTGGAGCTATGCTCCCCTGGGGAATTTTTGAAATCTGAGGCCTCTCAGAGCCCTGGAAATGCAATCAAATTTACTAGTTTCTGCGAAAAAGTTTATTAAACGGCTCTTACACAAGCCATTGTATGGAAAATTATTGGGGGACCAAGGTCCCCACCCTCCCCCCAATAGCAAGAGTCCACAATAGTGAGGTGTGATGAAAATGTCCCAATTACATTTGTGCAAGCTACAAGTCCTAATGTATTTAAACATTTTTATTCTAAACACAAAAAATACAAAACAATCTGGGTAATTTTTTTTTTTCATTCACTGTAGAGTTACATTACCATAAGCCAATAAACTTTCAAATACAACTGGAAAGTTCTATTTTGTAATGAAGTACAGTCAAAAGTGATTATATTATTGTGTTGAAAGAAAAATGTGACCAAGTTGTCCATTGTAATGATTGAGAGTAGAACAATAGAAATGTTTATTTGGGGACCACATGAAGTGTCTACAACAGTGTGAACAATGTTCTCAATCAGACTCAACCACATTACTTCTACACAATTGTTTTTATTGTTGCTAATGATTGTGTCATTATGACTACGTAATTAATTAAAAACAGGGGGACATTGGGATTTTAGATATTGCAGTATTAGCTTATTTTTCTTACAGTATTTTGGTATTTCCCACGAAACCTTGTGGTACACGGTATTGGCAATTTTGGACACAAAACTGCAATAATTGACAAATTTTGTTTGTGTTATTGTATGGTATTGAATATCCCTCAATGCCCCCTCTAAAAAGCTGCAGGTGAATTGAAAGCCATATACAGTACTTTACTTATCAATTGCTATTATTAAGTTCTTTAAAATTAAATTTGTTTCAACTGTATTTCACTGTACATACTTGGTGGCATTTGTGCAAGATTTATCCAGCTACAATGCTTTAATTATTTGACAGGTATTACAAAACAACTAAAGGTTGAAAAAATACTTTGGTTATTTTTGTATGTTTCTATAAACAGGTGCCAAACTGATAGCACAGCCAAGTAAAACTGTTTTGCATGTTTTGATTATGTTACTTTTTGTATAGATAATTTTTCCTGATGTGAAAGAGGGACCAGACAGTGCCACAAACCACAAAGAATTAGCAAATTTAGAAGATTACCTTGCCAAGATTGCCTATTACATGGTAGAAAAGTGTTTTTACACTAGGGCACATGAATCTCCTAAGATACATATGGAAGAACTTCCACCCATCATTCCTATGGCTATGAGAGGAGCAGTGGTTTATAACACTGAAAAGGACAAGAAGAGTTCGTTTTTGGAAAGCAATCATGTTACTGAAGGTATCATTAAATAAAGAAATATAACTCGATTGCCATTTGGATGGGGAGACTTGCCAGTTAATGTGTAATAGGGCACTCTGCCAACTTTGACGACTTCAAAATTCTTTCCTCTTCCTCAGACACTTGTGAATTATTGATTCACGAAAGCCTTTTTATATCTAAACTCAAACCTACTCTTAACGTCCAGGGTAGCTCTATTCCGCTTAACCTTCTGTAATTTGCCGTTTTCTTGTGTCTGTTTTGTTTCCTCATTTGTATCATCCTGTCTTACATACACCCTCTTATCCTTTATTATCCTTAGTAACATAACACCTTGTAAATAGATTATAATTAGCTTATATATATTCACATCTCGTGTAATTTTATCTAGTCTGAAGATGTCTTAAGTTAAAGACGAAACGTTACAATTAAATTTACAAACTGTTTTAATGGCTTTGTTAAAAGTTATATGTTGGGCTCTCATATTTATTATACAAATTCGTTTTCCGCCTGGCAAATCTCTAGCAACGATATTGTGTAATAAACCATTGAGTGGCAATGCACTCATCATTGTCCTTTTACTGTGTCTAACGTCAGACGATTTTACTTGTCATGATGGATGCTGCCACTTTTTTGAAAATCAAATGCGATGAACTGTTAACTGTAGTAACAAATGAAACAATAGACCTATTTGGGTAACTACAGGTATTGGTAACAAATTGACAAAAAAGCCCCCAACTTTTTCAACAGTCCAGCGTTATCACCTTTTACAAATATAAGACTATAAGACTTTGTGAATTGTAATAGTTATACATTTAACAATTAATATTAAGGAACTTCACATTCATGGATTTTAAACCATCCATCTTTCGATAAACTGAGCATATTATGATGTCATTAAAAGAACTATCGGTATCGGGGATATTGACACATAAACAATCGATTATCGGTCATTTCCGATAGTGGCACAATCAGTCAATCACTAATAAACAACACTTTCCAGACAATTTTACTTGTCAAAATGAAATCCTTTTATATTAATCAATATAGGTTATTAATGTACTAATATTTGCAGAAAACTCCATGAAATTTTCATTCTAATTGTTTTGCAGGGGATTCTTACATATTGGCAGAGCTGATCAAATCTAAGGAGTCGGAAATTGAAGATCTTCCGAAGTTGGGTATGCCCGTGTTACAGGAAATCTGTAACAAGTGTGGAATAAAAGTATCAAATAAATCTGCAGTAAGTTGAAAAAGTCCTACATGTACTATATTACTGTGAAAACATGTAAACGTTGTATATAGTGTACATGTATATATTCTGCAGTACTTCATAATCATATACAGTAAAAATATACTTTGTGGGAAAAAGGTATGGGAATATGCGTTGCTTTGATGCTATGTTTACTTATTGATCAATTATCCTCGTTTAATTTTTCACCAGGCTAAATTGAGATTTGACATCAACAGTTTGTATGCCTCCTTACTGGTGGCACTCTGTCCATGTCTTGGATTCGATAAAGCTCCTGGAAAGACAGGAGGATTTTACCACATTGTATGTTGCCATGGTGTAAGTTTGATTTTTCTGTTTAAATTTGTTGTTGCACTATATAGTGTCTGGTAGGTTTGGTTGCTAGCTATTAGATTACTTGCATAAGCACCAGATGATCGGTTGTACAGTAGGTAGCAATTGCAATTCCCTGGGTAACTGTAATTTGTGTTATATTGCAGAAAATATGTACAAACATTTGTTCTTCTGTTATGTGTAGACAACAGTAGCTTCAAAGTTTTTAACACTGACAGAATCAGTAAGAGACGCTGCAGACTTGTGCCTGTTGTTGAAGTATCAACCACTGCTTTTTATTAACGATTCTTTGTGTGGATTCACACAGCATCTGGAATGCAGAGCACCGGAGATTGCTGAAATTCTTTGGGATGACTACAGTGGTTGTTTTGAGAAACCAGAGTTTGGAAAATCTCCACAGGTTTGTAACCAGGTATATTTTGGTTTTATAATGTAGCATTTCTAAATTCTGAATGCTGATTGGCTAAGAGCCATGTTGATATAATACGATTTCAACCCTTTACTGTTTGTTTATTGGTTATACTGAAAATATATCCTTAATTTAAATTGACCTGGTTAACTTGTGTTCATTCTTTTTTAAGGAAATGCTTGTAGGCATCAAGTCAGTTCACATATGAAAAATACATATGCGTCATTGGAAGAAGCAGAGGATGACCTTGGCATTGATTACTTTTCAAAAGTCTTGCATTTTGATACAAATGCCTCATCTGATCTTCCAGTTTCATCACCTGTAGTTGCTCATTCCGCAAATGTCCGTGTGAATAATGAAAGTCATTGCCATGGTGATGCTATTAATAATAGCATTGTGACCTTACTGCTGAATATGTCTTGTAAAGCTTCGGACAGACCTTATTCAAAGTTTGCTTACTTACTATATGCAGATTGAGTTTGGTTCTGATTACACATCATTTGTCCCATCAGACTTTGTGGAACTGTGTTGCAAAAGATTTAAGGAACTTTTTGTCAGTGGAAAAGATAATATTATTTATCATCTTGCAAAGGGACTTGGTACTAAGAGAACAGATGGTAGTGGACAAGGCATGCTATTGATAGGATGCCTTTTGGTTTGTTGAGTTATAACATCCATTACTTTTCTTCAGATTCATCTAATAACTTAAGGCTGATCCTGATTTTATAGAATGGGAAACCACAATGTACTCAAACTTTGGACAGAAATGGGTATGCTTGCAACATGGTCCTGGGTTTGCGTATGATGGATTTAGTGAAGAACCTCAGGTTGAGGTCAACCCAACTACTGTCCCAAGTAATGCTGATGATGAAGCCATGACGAATGATGATAACTCGTGGTAGTATTATTGATTCAAAGGCGTGTTTGTTACAGCAAGCATGGAATGATGTTTTTGGCAATACTGATAGCTGTTTATCACTATCTGAGAATGAAACTGCTGGTTTTCCAGAAAGTTCTCAGCAAGCTAGTTCTTCAGCCACTGACGAACTTAGTTTCTTGTGGGGTCGATTAAGTATACAGGATCAAGAAGATGTCTCATCTGGAGAAAATCCCTCAGTTACTGAAGAACTTCATGGTGTTACACCACAGCAAAAAACTGGAAGCAAGAAAACAGTTGACCCAATGAAATCGAAAATAAATGTTGCTGGTCATTCCCTAAGAACAATCCAGAGACATATACAATCTTCACCCTTTACCAAGAATTCAAATATTCAGGTGAGTCAATGCACATTAGCACTTTTTCAGCCAATCACACATTATCTAATCTTGATGTGGCAGAGTTGACAACAAGGGGTACACTGGTTTGTCTTACATACAATATGATACAATGTTGGTTTTTTGTATTCTGATTTACCAAACCAGACAGATTGCTACCGACTCTTGTCATAATGTGTGATTGTTTATTTTGTGCACTTTGTAGTATCCAGCCCAATTAATAGAAGTTAATATTATACTGTACACTAATGTTTATATTAACTTCCGCTTGTAATTTTATAATGTATTCTATTCTCATAATATACAAGTTAATAATAATAACATTTCTATAGCGCATATACATTGCTGTTCAGGCGGCTATACTCTTGTGTTTATTCGATATTTACCACGATACACTACATTCTGGCGACGAGAATAATAAACCTACACGTAATCAAATCGATGAAATTGATTATTTTGCTAAAAAGACCGAGTTTTTAGCAACGGAAACGGCCGAACAAAGTTCCAAAGTGCGAACAAAACAAACAAACAAAAAAACGCGCCAAAATAGTCAACAGTACAGCTATTGTTCAACGAAGTGCTTGAACTTAAAACATTTATGGCAACCCCCAATCTTTCCTTGCCAAACTTTCCATCTTTTGACGTCCATGTCGATGGCAACGTTGGCCCACAATGGAAAAAATGGCTAACCAGGTTCGAATGACTTCTTATAGCGACGAACATCACAGAAGCAAAACAAAAACGCACCCTTTTTTTACATTATGCTGGCCCGGCCGTAGACAAAATCTGTTATACTTTATCTGATACCGGTGAAGACAAGGACTATAAAGAAGCCGTAGACGCTCTGATTGCATACTTTTTGCCTCAAGTTAACTCAACATTCGAAGAGTACAATTTTCGCCAAGCAAAACAACAACACGGAGAAAATATTGACGCATATAATACCCGGCTGAGACAACTTGCCCAAACCTGCGATTTTACCGACGTCGATAAAAAAGGAAAATCACAAATAATTATTGGGTGTTTGTCACAACGTTTAAGACGACAAGCTTTGCGTGACAATCCAACTCTCAAAGATCTACTAGCCGCGGGAAGAGCACAAGAGCGAAGCGAAGCACAAGCCAAAGCCGTAGAAAAAGGCATGTCACCCGTAAATTCCATCAAACACGAGCAAAGCCAAAGAGACACGAGAAACAGAAAAAATCACGGAAAATATCAACAATCGAAGTCCAGATACTTTGGGAACGCTGGAAATCAACAAACACCCCCCGGAAATCGACAATTTCCCACCAGAAATTGACAAATACCCCCGGGAAATCAACAAATACCTACTCAACAATGTCGCAATTGTGGTGGAATTTTTCCACATAACGGTGACTGTCCTGCAAAAGGTAAAGAATGTCGAGCATGTGGGAAAAGCGGTCATTTTGCCAAGGTTTGCAGATCAAAACCCAAACGACGCGAAATCCACCAAGTATCGGAAACCCCATCAGAGGAACCCCAATATCTATTCACCTTGCAGAATAACCATCAGCACAATACATCACCACTCTGTGAAGTTTACATAGCTAACGAAGCAGTCCAAACCATCATCGACTCGGGTGCCTCTGTCAATGTTATCGATGAATCCACTTACGAAAAGATTCGAAAACGCAACAAAAACGCAGCGCTCACTACACCCCGATCCGAGATATTCGCATATGGCTCAAATATGGAACTGCCACTCTTAGGTATGACTACAGCAGAAATTCGTTTCCAGTCCACCACCGTCAACGCAACCTTCTATGTCACAAAGGGACAAAATGGTAATCTCTTGAGCTGCAACACTGCCGAAAGTTTAGGAATCCTAAAGATAACGGTAAACACTGTTTTAGATACCCCCAACACACCTCCTGAGCAAAATTTTCCAGACTTGTTCGATGGATTTGGCAAGATAAAGGACAAGACAATCAAGTTGCATATTGATCCCGAGATTGAACCTAAGCAACAGTCCCACCGCCGCATTCCATTTCATATTAGAAAAGATGTTGAAAAAGAACTTCAACGCTTAGAAGATCTCGATGTTATCGAAAGAGTCGAGGGGCTCACCCCCTGGGTCAGTCCCATCGTCGTAGTCCCAAAGAAAACGGGAGAAATTTGCCTCTGTGTTGACATGCGAGAGGCAAATAAAGCTGTGAAAAAAGAAAAGCACCTTATGCCAACACTTGATGAACTCATCACTGATCTAAATGGCGCAACTGTATTCTGCATCCTAGACCTGACATCCGGATACCACATTACAACATTTTCCACCCATGTCGATCTTCGACGATATAAACGACTCATGTTTTGAATAAATGCCGCATCAGAAATATTCCAAAATTCAATTGCTGAGCTTTTAACTGGCCTACCGGGATGCAAGAACATTTCCGATGACATCATTGTTTACGGTCGTGACGTCAGAGAACACGATGAAAACCTGAACCGTGTTTTAACCTGTCTACAAGAATACAACGCCCGCCTCAACCCAATGAAATGCACCTTCCGTAAAGTCAGAAGTGATCTTCTATGGACATTCCTTCAGCACGAAAGGGATCAAAGCTGCTCCTCAGAAAAGCATTGCCATTAAGATCATGCAACCTCCAGAAAATCCAAGCGAAGTGAAGTCCCTCCTTGGTATGGCACAGTACGTTTCACGCTTCATCCCGAATTATGCCACCATTACTGCCCCTTTACGTGCCTTAACCCATCAGAATTCCGTGTGGAAATGGGAGATAGAAGAAACCGCTTTTCGAAAGCTACAGAATGAGCTAACTAGTATTTGAGTAAATTATTGCAATTTTGTGTTGGTCATATTTGGGGTAATGATTGGTAATCCTGACAAAGCCTATAGGACAAATGCATTTTGTACAGAAACATTTAGCGATGAAACTAATTTACTATAATACTGAATTCATACCATAAAGAAAGTGAATAATTATAGAGATACCAGAAACGTACCCGTACCAAACATAAAATTATCAAAAATGTTGCAGTATTTTCAGTTTTAGCACTTTTTCATACACCTGTATAATAAGGAGTTCATGTTTATACTTACAATACTATATGGCCATTTTCAGTTTAGTATATCTCTAGTCCATGTTAATGTCTTTTTCAGTTTCCATGTGCACATCGAAGGGCAGTATGCAATGTATATTTTCAAAATTAATATTTTATTTTCATGTCAAACAAGTCAGAAATATCTGTTTTGGTATGTATTGTAAGCCAAAAAGTTGAAATCGCTATATTAAACTCACACGCTACAATTTACACGCATGCGCAGATCGTGCTCATGTCGAGTCGATTTTTTTTCATGCTGGCCGCACCAAGTTTAGTGATGATTTTCTCGTGCTTTCTTCGGTGAAATTTTTTTAAACAACATATCCAAATTTTAAGAAATTCTACAAATACCTTTTTCTGTAACAGTCATTCACGAATATCTCGACAACTTATTTGTAAACGTCCCTTCAAATTTTGATATGCTTTTCCTTTATGGACCATAACTCTTCAAAAAAAATTTCAGAAAAATTCACCGAAGGAAACTATAGATATTGTCAATTTATTGTAAAATTTGACAATAAAAGTGCAAAAGATTAAACGTCATGGTTGCCATGGGAACACGAACACTGTTTTAATTTGTTTATAAATGGACAGCACACAGCTTCTGAACTTTCCAGGAAATGACCATATTACCCTGTCTTAAGTGTATTTAATATAAATTTGGTTCAAAGCGAACGTTACTCAAAATACCTAGAATTTTAGAGAACTGTAGGGAGCCACCTTAAGCTGATTGTTTAATTTTAGATTCCATTGTTTTTATTCCAACCAATCAGATTAGTAGCGTTTTAGATTGCAAGTAAAGATAAAGTAAACCCCGAATTATGTATATATTTATATACCTCTTTCGCCTCGAACACCATCTGACGGACTGCCCGCAACGACTCTAAGCCAATATGCCTGGTTATAATGTGATGCATTGCTGTAGAAGTTGGGTATTGTTTGTAAAAGCGGACCGCGAACGCCATCTCTGGTGCATCGTTGTCCCAGGTACGGACAGCCAATTTGCGGCTCGGCGAGGATAACCAGACGTTTGTCACTTTGGTTGCTGTTAAAGATATCACACGAATCCCCACCATAGAAGTGAACGCAATTCTTATACAGCTTGACAGCTTCACCAGTCGTTCGGCTGGGGGCACAGGCTCGTTGGTTTTCCAGCACTTCGGCAGGGGATCTTGCAATTTCCTGTTCCGCAGGTACGGCGCCAAATATTTGGTGGTTGTGCCCATTACTACCGTTGGTGTGGCTGTTGATATGGTGGGTGGGGACATGGCCGTGGTCAATTGTGCAAAATAATATGTGTTTTCTAACGAGGACGAACTCAAGCCGGCGAACTTGGACTTCACGTTCAGAGCCATCATCTCATTGTCCACGCAATGCAATGGGCGATCCTCGATACTCGGAGGCTGTGCATTGGAGACTTTGCCGTTCTCTTCCAGTTGATCATAAAATCTGTGGAAAATACAAAATATGATGGTGAGCACGTTGTCATTACATAGTGAACGTTCTGACCATTATGCATTACTGTCCGGAAAACCTAGTCGAAGTAGCTGTTTCAAACCGTGATTCCAAAAAGTTGTTCCTAATCCATATTTGTATCGTTCCCTATCAACTTTGTTTTGTTCCTAATTAATGTTCTATTTATTCCTAATCAATAATTTTGTTTTGTCCCTAATTATTACTTTTTGTTTTGCTGCCCCTACTCAATTTTGTTATATACTCACTCATTGTACATTTCGTCGAACTGCATGCATGCAGTGCATTCGTCGCACCCACATTTCTCCAGCGACGCTCCATACAGGACGTACTGCGCGTCATTGAGGTCACCTTGCAGCTGGTCCAATGTTGCCCCTATCCTTTTCTCTTCGTTTCCCTCGTCGTCAACGTGCCTTTCGTGGACAGCACGCACCATGCACCCGAGTGCATGCCGTGAGCAATTAGCAACACCGTTCTGCAGGGCAACAAGCTGAAGCGTATGTGTGATAACTGCTTCCAGCTCGTCGTCTTCCGCAATCCTAACAGATTCGGCGTGTATCTCTCGCATCCCGGAGACAAGGCGCTGGTCAAGGGTTTCCCATTCATTCATTCATTTCCTGGAAGAACAGGAACAGCTCCTTGTGAGTTGGTCTTTCTCCCCTTCGCCCAAACACTTGATCGCCATTTCATGCTTCGTCCCACTTGCTGTTATTGTCTGTAGTCGCAATTCTCTGCGAGGCTCGGGCGCCAGTGGCCTTGGTCGGTCTGCGCTTGGCGGCGACTGGTTTGGCAGGCGTTGCGCAAGTGGAGGAGTAGCCGATGGAGTTGCTTCTCTCACTTGTTTGCTCGGCGCCGGCGTGATTTGTTTTTCAGCCCTTTTTCGCTTCTGCCTCTCGTCCTCCTTCCGTGGCTCACCAGGCCTTCCTTTGCCCATTCCACGGCCTGGGGTGTCCCCGTCCTGGCTGCTGCTGGCATGTGGCTGTTGCCTTGGCCTTGGCACGGGCCTGATTCTGGGTGCTTTCGCAAGCATTCCTTTCATGGCGCGCCGTTCGAGTATTGCTGCAAAATAGAGAAAGCGATTGACGTTTTATTAATGTATGGATAAAAATAAGTTAAGTTTATTTTAGTTTTAAAGTCTTATTCGAGTTAATTTTTTATAAAAAATTAAATTTGAAAATGCCTACAGTTCTTGTCAAAAAACTGTTGTAGTTTTGGCGAAATCAAACAGCGCAACATGCATGGAGACATATCAGTTGAAGTTGGTACTCACCTTCAGATTGGTCATCTTGGGCAAAAAGTGAAACGTAGAACGATCCCACGGCTTCCAACAGCTTTTGCAGGGTTGGCACATCGTTGATGTTCGTAGCATTCTGCCTTACTACCCTGAAAACTTCGTCAATATATTTCATGCTGGCCTCCATGGCGGCTATCGGCCGAAAAAGCTCTAAAACAAGCCTCGAAATAAAGTCCTTACTTTTTCCCGATTAATAAAACAATTGAATACACCAGTTATGCACTGGAAAGGTTGTTCTTAGAAGAACAGTTTTATAAAATTAAGAAAAAGCAGCGAGAGAATTTCGTGTTGACCGGCTTGTCCAACGAACTTTGCAATTTAACTGTCTTCCAACGTTTAAAATCATTTTGAACGATCCGATTTTTGAATGCTTGATTTCCATTGGTCTTTCTATTACACAACTGAGTTGTGTAATAGAATGACCAATCAAAACGAATTTAAAATTTCAAGCCTAAATCACATCGTTCAAAAGTAATCTTCTTCCCCAGGCCCCTGTAACGTGACACGCTCAATAGTTTTCAATACAATGGCGACATATGTTAAAACGCAAGCGCTATTCAAATGAGCTGTTGGAAACTTGCAGACGCTTTACAGGGAAAACCTTTACTAGGCAAATAATTTCAATAATCAATAGACAAATTGTCGAAATCCAGGTATGAAATTCGAAATTAAATACCTTATCCAATCAAACTCAAACATAAACAAACATATTAGAGGTTATTAAAAGGCTCTGTCAATATTAAATGCATGAGACTGTGTCCCACTGAAGCTACCGAATGTCCCATTGCGTACAGATTATCATTCAATTACGTAGTTGGAATCAAACAAATATAATTAGTCTTTCAATCGATTCACAGCATGAAAAGATTCAATTATGTAATTGAAACAATGCCAAGAAATAGTTTCCTGTTTATTCCAGTAAAGTAATTTATACTATATTTCTATATTATTACATCTTATCTTTGATTATATTATTGTATTATATTTATTTTAATATGTTAACATTTGTTATTAAATAATCTCTTATATTTCATTATATTATTGTATTATATTATATTTATTTCAATGTGTTAAGATTTATTATTAAACATAATTATTTTCAGGGCTTTTCTTGGTGTCAACCACCCCACCCCCAGGATCTAGGACCACCCACTGATAATCATACTAGCCGGTCACATGACATGCCCCCACCCAACAGGACAATCTGCAAGTGTCATCTGCACTGCATCTATCATCTGTATTTGCACAGAAAATCTGTCAGTCTGTTCCACAATGCATTCTCCTCCAGTAATATTTACCACAACCCTGCCCTGGGCCAGATAGACGGACCACGTCAGGACCATATATTTGGGCGTGGCCACTACCTATGAAAGTTGGTGGGTGAAAAGCATTTCCAAATTACTGTTAGAAACACAATGTCATATTAATATTAATCCCATGTTCCTTCATAATACAGTTCCCATTGTCAAAATACAAATATTAGGGGATGCTGTTTAGCACTGCTGCCTTTTTAACATGTTTACTAGCAATGTGCCCAAATGCCCCCAACTTTATTCTTTTGGTCAATTAATATCCACTTAATTGGTCAACGCTTGTACCAAATATATCGAGAGCTGTATATGTAAGTTATTAGAATAAATTGGCCTTAAATAGTACCAATGTATGTCTTCTACATTCTTATTAAGGTACCACTGGGTATATTATTCAAGAATGAAAATGTAACTGATGAAATGGTAGATATATTAAAGAAGTTTCAGTCATATTTACCATTTTTCATGGAAAATGGAAACAATAAGTATGTGAATCAACTCTGTGCTGGTGATCAATTAAGCGTTGAGAGGGCTGCCAACACCATTCATTCTGTTTCTAATGGTTACACACCAGAAGACAGGTTAGAAGGCTTCAACATTCAAATTGGTGATTGGCACACAGGAGTAAAGATTCTCGAGGTACAATTTGATTTTTTACTATCCATTTTTTCGAATGCTTTTTTACTTCACTTCTAGTTCCAGCTGTCTGTGGCAACCATAATGTTTATGTTACAAATCTAGGACAAATTTTGTAAGCAATATTGGTTTTATTATAATTTTATAAAACTTTGATAATAATGGTAGATTGGCAGCCCAAAAAACAGAAGGACAGAAGGTGGATTTCTAATATATTCCACTTTAGATTTATATAATTTGATGTGGCGATATTAAATTCAATAATTTGTATTCATTATTGAATGAAATTCATAATTTGTGTATACTTTTTGTTAACCCATTTAGCAGCAATGCACCTGACTACATTGAGCAGCAATGTGCACTACTCTATCTAACACCAGACAATTTTACTCGTCAAGAGGATTCTTGCAGCTCAAGTCTGATCAGCCAATAGCGATGACTTTTTAAATACATTAAATTCAGAATTCAGTTGTTCAAAAATTTCCATAACAAAAAATTGTTCTTGTTAAAATGTTTATTGCATGTGCATGTTGAACACAAAGCAATATAGCTGTAAAATTTATCATAAATGTTAATTAAATTTTAAACATTTTCCAATTTTAAAAATTTTTGCACTAATATATGTATAATTTTATATTTTTTGTATTTAATTCACCTTGTGTTCATAGATGTTATACTGACAGTTTTACTCTATGGGTTCCTCAGATGATGATTGCACAATGGTATCTGACAGAAATGTCATCAACAGAAGGAATGTAAGAGCAGATCCACATACAGCCTACCGAGCTGATAGAGATTTTCTCATTCTGGAAGTAACTTCTCGGGTTGTTGCAGCAGCATATCAAGTCCTTGGCTTACAAGCAAAAGTGACAGACCAAAGCATGTCCCAATACCAGATGGAATTGATCAAATGAGCAAGCTGGTTAAACTGCAGTTTCTACACAAGGTTGCTGCCAAAATTGTTGATAAGCTTATTGTGGATGAAGAAATGATGGATGCCAGCATCAAAACCATGATCTCGTCCCAAGAAAGAAAAGAAATGATGGATCACATGAATATAGACAAGGATGGACGCTTTCCATGTCGTTTTTTAGACTGTTCCAAATCGTTTAAATATAATGGCAAATCCCGACAAACGCATGAATTGAGTCATGATCCGCCTGTTATTGTGGATGATGCACCATGTAATGTTACTGTTCACAATGAGGCTGAAAATTTGCAGAACAGTTTTGACGATGTTTTTAGTTATAACACTGCGCTTCTCTCGGAAGGTTTGTACTTTATGAATTTTTTGGATGCCATTGCTGAGGGGGACAGTATTAGGATTATTCGCTAGTACAAGTACTTAATGCTGTTATGTAAAGCTGGTGGATCGCACAGCGTCAAGTATGCTTTAGAGAGTCTTTATCAACTTCTTCTTATCAATGGGTATTTGAGTCACGATGAATCAGAAGTTATTACTTGGAACAGAACTGTCAACAATCATGGTGGTGCAGGATGAAACGCTGGGCGTCAATGTAACAGAAAGTACTGTCACCAGGATTGCCAAGGGCGGAAAAGGGAGTTAGAAAGATTATTGATGAAATGGATGGAAATCTTCATCGTTCTATACATTCCGGTAAACATGGTGGTAATTCACCAACGACAGATTTAGATGAACTTGTTACCAGGTTAGTGCAAGGAAATGTGTTTGAGTATCAAGAGGGGCGTAAGTACAAACATTTTAGCAATTTTTTCAGAGATCCAATTCTTGATATGACACAAACATTCATTTGGATTAATGACCACAAGAAGAAACTCGCTTCTGGCACAAATGCTAGATAATTGTTATGACAATTGTTACTTTAATTTGTTCTAATCTTTAATCTCATTCCCCGAGCCTGCGATACTCTGGAAGGAACATGATGCTCTGGGATAATCCATTTCAGGGAGGAATGTGATTGGCCATTGATATAGAATGTGCAGTTTGGTCTTTAGCACCAAACTGACATATATGTAAAATGTCTGCAAGTATCTGTCACATATCTGTTGCAGTACTGCAGCATAACTGCAACAAGGTCTACAATATCTGCAAAATATCTGCATAAAAGTTGCAGATATTTTGCAGATATGTTGATTATCTGTCAACATATCTGCAAAATATCTGCATAAAAGTTGCAGATATTTGCAGATATGTCAATTGTCTGTCACCATATCTGCAAACTATCTGCATAAAAGTTGCAGATATTTGCAGATATGTCAATTGTCTGTCAAAATATCTGCAAAATATCTGCATAAAAATTGCAGATATATGTAGATATGCCAATTGTCTGTCAATATACAGGGGGGTGAATAGGGGTATACAGGGGGGGGTGAATAGGGCTATACAAATCCGCCGATTTGAAGCAAAATCCGCGATCCGAGCCAAAATATTACATAAATCCGCAATCTGCTGTATTAATAAGATCCGAAATCCGTGTAAAACATTCGCCAGATCCGAAATCCAGACAATTTTTTCTGTGAAATCCGATGATCCGAAAAACCTATTCACCCCCATACAGTATCTCAACTACACAGCAAAAAATAATTTCTTATTGAGAAAACAATTCTTACTTCAAGAAAATATTTGTTGAAATGAGAAACTAATTTTCTTAATTAGAAAAACGATTCTTAAAATGAGAAGTATTTGATTTGCAAGACATTTTTTGAAATAAGAAAAATTCTCTTAACACATCTTAAATTACATTTGTTTTCTTGAAATATGAATGTTTTCTTACGATTTGTCATCTTCATATCAAATCATTTTCTTAAGAAAATTTTTAAAACAAGAAATCAAATTCTTAACATAAGAAATAATGGTTAATTAATAATAAATTATTTCTTACTTATTTTCTCGAAGAATGAAAATAAATTTGTTAAAATTTAAATATAACATCTTTTGCAATTTTTTTCCAAAATGATATATTTTTCCTCAATATTCTTTTAACAAGATTTCAAATGTCATCCTGGATTTAGATTCTATATGGGTTAGTATATTCACTTTAACTGTAATTAGCCTTTTCTCAAAAGAGATCACAGTGCATATTCTGGGGTCATGTGGGGGGACAAAATATATGGAGACAGGCATCAAATATGTGAAAGAGTAGAAGTATCTACTATCAAATATCAATTTTTTACATGACCAAAAATGAAATATCTCCTTTTTACATTAAACTTTAATTTAAATGTGTGCTGCCATATTTCTTGTCCCTTCAACAAGGGATTCGTGTGACTAGACCCAGGACTTTGGGAAATGGCTAATTAAATATACAAATTCTCTTCTATCATATTTATCTTTGTTAATTAATTTGTTATTAACTCATTAAGCGGCAAGCTGTTACAATGTTTCTACCCGCCTAAGGCGCAAGCAATATGGCGAATATGTGATTGAATTCAAGAGCTTTCATCAAAATGGCAATATCTCAGAAACAGTTGCATAAAAAAATCTGATCTTTTCAACCAAACATTAGTGATATATGATTGACCAAATTTAGTTTAAATGACTTTGCATACCTACATATATCATTAGTTTTTTCAATGAGAATTTTTATTTGTAAAGCAGTGACACTTTGTTTTTCATGTCACTCATCACCTAAAGGGGCAATATCTCCATAAATTTATATAAAAACCAAAAAAAAATCATTTACTAAATTAGTACATATCTATATTATAACCAATTTTCATCTTTTGCGATATGAATTAGAAAACGATCAAAAATTATAAAAAATACTCATTTGCTTTTTTTGCATGGGCAAGATATTTACAACACGAAATTTAGAACAGTAACTAAGTGTTCAAATTCAACCAAAATGTGCAAGCCAAAACACAGTGCTTGTTCATCTTTGGAGTTTGTAATTACCTCAAATATATTTAAAAGGACATATGGTACTAGAATTGATTTATTTTCAATATAAACCAAGGATGGGAAGGTGAGAAAATACGAATTTTCTGAGGCGTTTTTAACACAGACAATGACAGCCGACATTTTCAAAGGCAAATTGCGGTGACAAAACCAAAAGTTATTCACTTCTCTACTCAAAGCACTGAAAAACACCATAAAGAGAAAAACATTTTAAACATACATCAGGTAAGCCTTTTAGCTCAATTTTCTCATGTTTCTGTTTGGAAAGAAACGGTTTTTAGCCAAAATTATTTTGCGCGCCAATGTAGGCTGCTATAAAATGTCAGACACACGTTCTCTTTTGAAGTCTGGCTCTGAAAAACAATCGCTTTTTTTAGTTTGAAATAAGCTTTCATAAGGACTAATTGTGTAGAAATGTTATCTGTATGCTCAAATGAAAAAGATAACCTAATAGTCAGGTATTCAACATAGCTATAAAAGGGTGATATAAGGACTTTCATCTTTGGTTGTTTGTCAGACATGAGAAACCACATTAGTGCCATTTTGTCGCGCGTGCTATTTTCTAAAATAAACACCTCAAAACCATAAACTTTTAGTTCAGAAAATAACAAAGTTTCCCATAGACATTAGTAAAAATGTTCTAGTGAAGCGATTTCATGATAAATAAGTGAGCTATGGGCCCAAAAGAACTGCTAAACTATGTTTTTGTTAGGACAATTTCATGGCTTCCCGCAAAGGAAGCCATTTCAGAGAGAAGCGGCATTTTGCAAGCAACGGTCGCGACCTATTTTTGATAACTTTTCCTTCTGATTCAATGTGTAGTTACTAGAAAATGAGGTTGCATCAACATTATTATCTGCTTTATCGATTTAAAGTTTTATGGGGATATAAAACCCAATAGAAAAAGCGTTTTAAAAGCTTTAGAACTCAAGTGCAGACTTTTTGAAAATTCGCACGCGGCCAGCAAGCGCACTAATTCAATACACTTATTTTAAACCACAATATGTCTGAAACGAGTTGTCGTTTTAAGACTAAATTGATGAAAATAGATATAAAAGTGATTTTGGAGTATCCTACTTACTTAGTGTAATTTAATACTCGAAGTATTCTTGCCAAAAAGGGCACGTACGCACATAGTAATTTAATCTGGTGTCGTGTGAAACATACTTTAGCTAAAATAACAACTTGAACAAGAAGACCAACAATGGGGTTACGAAAACAGTCGAAATTGTGCCCAAATTTGCATAAACAGTTCGTCTAAAAAGATAACTTTAAACTAGATTCAACCAACTTTAATGCGGTCGAATTTTGTGAGTGTTTGATCGCATACTTCTACTCAAAAATACCCTTAAAAATATCGTATCTGCTCACTTGAGTTCCGTGTTCATCTTTCTTGTGATTTCGGACTTCTATTTTTAATTAAGTTTGGAGAAATCCTCATCTTTTTGGCTGAAAATCTCGCAGATGGTTCACAGAAGAACTTGGCCCCAAAACGTCAATACATTCGCTTTCCTTTCATGCCAAATTTTCGTTGTAAATGATTCAAAAACCTCTTCTTTCTTCGCTTTTAAAACTTGCTGTAAAACCATTCTTTGCAACAGTTTCGCCATTGTTCATTATTTTTGAAAAACTAAGGTTTTAAACTTAAAAACTTTGCGAGTTTTTGGCCGATTTTCTTGCATGATACACCGTTGAAAAGCTCGAATTTCACGTTCTATTTTCGTATCCGTTGCTAGGCAACCCGATAAACACGTGCTCAAATATCATGCCCGCAAGTTAAGGAGTCATGTTAGGGCGCATTCGGGCGCATTGCCGCTTACCCCCTTGCCAATCTCAGGGCGCATTCGGGCGCATTGCCGCTTAATGAGTTTAAGTAAATTTGGGACAAAAATACTGTGTTTTATTTATATTAAAATGCTACATTTGCCCCCTTTAGGAAAGGAGACCTTGCCCCACCCCCTTTCCATCATCCCTGATACCATATAACTACATTCTAATTTAATTTCTAAAGTTGAGTTCTTTCCATGTTTTATTGAATCATTGTAGAGAATTTTCATTTTCCGAGAATTTATTATCAATAAATTAATTAACAGTCAGTAACTGATTGAAAACATTTGTAAATATTCCTTATATTCGTAGAGAAACTATGTTTAATACATGACAACTGAAGCAATAGTTCGTGCATTGCCTGGAGGCCTGGTGCCCAGTTTAAGTGTCGGAGCGCAAAGTGTCATGGGATAGCGTCGTTTCGAATTTTTGTGCTAAAAATTTGACAGCACATTTACATGTCTTACATGGTGAAGAAACTTATCGAAATTACAAACCCAAACGATGGAAAAGGCATGGAAAAGTTCGTAAAATGTTATTCAGATCTCACAGGTAAGAATAGTTATATTTTGACTTGTTATTTAAGCACTTTAATTGCAGTGAAAATATGATTGTTACTTGAGCCATGTGTCTGAAATTCTGTTAAATATAATTTTGAATTTGCCACGTTCAATTTACATAAAAAAACATACAAACTGTTGGTTTCTGGCAAGGAAAGAAAGAATAAAATATCAATTCGAATCTATTATAGTAAATTCTGTAGTAAATTGTGCACTAAATTATGAACTATTAAGGCCTGTTTAAACGGATGCAACATGTTGGACCAACATCATCCAACATTGTTGTGTCCAACATGTTGGGTCCGTTTGAACACCATGTTGGATATTGTTGCATTATGTTGGATGATGTTGGATCAAGTTTGATTTTGTTCAAACTTTTCATCCAACATCGTCCAACATTTGACGAAAAATTAGTACAACGTCATACAACGTCATCGTTTCCATGGAGATTCGCATTAAAAACATTCAAAATGGCGGAGAGCGAAGATGAAATATGTGATGACTTTTACGAAAGTTTGACACAGGAATCCCTTGTTGAAACGCCTCAGAAGAAGCGTGACTTCGCTGAAATCGGTGAAGACGATGTAAGCAATAAGCCAACTTCAAGTAAAAAGCAGAAGGCTGAAAAATCTGGAGGGAAATCTCTTGCGAAGTCGAAAAAGTGGACTGACAAAGAAATAGACAAGCTTCTGGAAATGCTTGAAGATCGGGTTTGCTTGTGGGATGTATCGTCCAAAGAGTATCATTTAAGAGATAAAAGGGCAAAAGCTTATAAAGAAATGGAAGAAAAGTTGGGAGTGAGCGCTGCTGAAATTAAATCTAAAATTGTCGGATTACGAGCTCAACTTGGAAGAGAAATGGTGAAAGTAAGGGCAAGGAAATCGGGAATGGCTTTGTCTGAAGTGTATGAATCAAACTGGATATACTGGGACAGACTTCAGTTCCTTACAAAGGTCATGGAAGCACGCAAGAGTAAAGACAACTTAGTTGACCAAGGAGACAAGCATGGAAACTCACCTGGTTCTGTCGAAACCTCAGTCACCGCTGATGCCAACAGCTTTCCTGTGCCAAGCCAAGGGCAAAATAGCAACAAAACCCCAAATTATTATTCGCGAAAATCGAAAAAGAATGACCTCGAAATGAAAAGGCAGGAATTATTGTCGACTTGCATTAATGTTCTGAAAGAACCAGCACCCAGCCAACAAGCAGCTCCAATCCAATGTCCATTTTCCCTATATGTGGCTGAAAAACTTTCCCAGTTTGACCGAATGACAAGGATGGTAGCTGAGAAAAGAATCAGTGATGTGTTATTTGAGCTTGAAATGAAAGAGAACTCTTTCCAACCATTTGGTCAATACCATCTTCAACCGAGACCAGCTGACCCAACTGATTCAGTAGGTAATATGTCCTCACCTTACATAAATCATATGCTTCAGAACACAAACTACAGATGACTTAATGGTTTTATATAAATATTTTTTACATTTTGTCCAGAGTGACTTTGTTGAACCATTTATTCTTATATATTTCAATATGTTATTTTCTTATTTAATTTATAATGGTACTTTTAACTCTTTTGGTCCATGCAACATTATTACATTAATGATTTCAATTATTAAAATTTGTGAGAAAAAAATTAGATTGTAATACAAAAGCTCTTATAATTGTGTTAATAATTAAATTATTCATTAATGGCATTCTGTAATACCACATTGAATTTTATCAATAAAGATTTCTTATTTTAAAATATATTATTATATAAAGTATAGTGCTTTATATAGATTTCGAGCACTGATAAAAGTGATAATCTCACATGTGAGATTATTCATGATAATCTCACATGTGAAAATTATCGCTTTTCAAATATCGCTTTTTTGTACAAATTATCGCTTTTCATAGACTGTCCATTATATAATAAACAGAAAAATACATGGGTGCTTGGAAATACCAGATTTATTTCTCGTGTTGAACATGATATCTCACTCGTTCGCTGCGCTCACAAGTGAGATATCATGTTCAACACTCGAAATAAATCTGGTATTTCCGCGCACCCATATATTATTCTCTATTTAAAGTTCTGAAATGACATCGCATCCATGCAATACATAGTGTAAGCACAGAATAGGGTACACAGAAGGCGGACTTCTTGGTTTCGACCTTCTGTATGCCTTATTCTGTGGTGTAAGTGCAGTGAATTAATTTCAATCCAGTCCTAGGCCTGAGAATATTTGCATATCATCCAATCATTGGACTTGATTAATATTAATTCACTGCACTTCAATTTTTATCAGGTATCATCATATGATTCCAGTAGGGTCAGTGGGTTACTGTTGTTGATATATATTAATTAATAAATCAATTATTTTTGTTTAGGGACTGGTCATTATTTATTGAAGAGGGGTAAATAGGGGGGTCTTTATTGAGGGTGGGAGTAAATAGGGGGGTCATTTCAAGTCATTGAATTGATGATCTGGACATTTTCCAGTAAAAGAATAAAAAGATTGCTATATATACTAAGATTAATATTGTATAAACTTTTACCTCAATCGCAGTATATGGTTTATTATATCATTGCTTAATATAGAATAATTTATTAGCAAACTGTCAATGCAAAATCATACACACAATTCAAGTTTGACTTCATATTTGTAATAAAATTATTCACAACATCCTCATATTGGCATCTAAAAGCTAACAAATAATGTGTCAGGCAACATTTTGTTTCATACACACCAAGGTTTAATTATACACTTTAGTCTAGCAAAAGTTCCATTGCCAATCAACAGAACCTTCAGCAAAAAAATAATCCTTCAATGTCTCTCTCACTAATTTGGCATTATTTGATGCATTGTGGCCTGTGGGTGAGACTGAAAGTGGCAATAATGACTCTGACATGCTTTCTTGGCGCCACAGCCCTTGGACAAAACGACCATTGCAGTATTCTGTGTCAAGCAGTCCGACAGGGCAATATGATGCCTTGGATGAAATGCTTTTCCGCAAATAGTTGTGAAGAACAAGGATCGCCATAATAAGAGATTCTATTGTCTCAGGTGGGAGCAAAATAATACCTCTGATTACACGCCATCTGTTTGCAATGATCCCAAACAAATTCTCCGATATTCGTCTTGCTCGACTGTGTCTGTAATTATAGATTCTCTTGTCTTCGGTGAGACTCTGCTGTGGGTAGGGCTTCATCACATTCGGTTTCAGTGCAAAAGCATCATCAGCCACAAATAAATAGGGAATCTTTGTAACACCAAACGGTAAGCACCTAGCCGAAGGGAGATAGTTCCATCATCAATCGACTTGGACAGGCTACACTTGTTCCAAACACCACCATCAGCTACTCTCCCATTGGTACCAACATCTGCATAGATGCATTCATAGTCTGGACCAGCAACAGCCATTAGTACAATCGAGTGGGTGTGCTTGTAGTTATAGAAAAATGATCCAGCATTGGCAGGTGGCTGCATGACTATATGTTTACCATCTATGGCTCCAACACAGTTAGGATAGTTCCATCTTTCTTCGAACTTTGCTGCTATCTCAAGCCATTCTTCAGTGGTGGATGGGACTTTTAGATACAGTGGTCCGATATGTTTCACAATGGCTTCACAAACCTCTTTGACAATATAGGATATCGCAGCCACCGATATACGAAATTGAAAGCACATCGATTGATAGGTCTCACCTGTAGCTAAAAATCTTATAGTCAAAGTTAATCTTTCCGGGGCTGGTAACACTTTTTGGCCACCTTGAACTTGATGCGGACTTATGTGAGGCTCTACAACTCGTAGCAATACTTTAAAATCGTCGTAGGACATTCTCATCATCTCACGATACGCTGCTGTGTCTTCAACCATCAATTCCCTCACAATGTTCGTGTAAAATCCATGGCTTTCTCTTTTCCTTATCCATGACCTGGTCTTTCCTCTTGGATTCTTGTCTATTTCCAGTAACCCTTGCAGGACAAGGATGGCAATACATTTTCTCTTTCTCATTGTTTATGTGACCTCTTGAAGAGATTACATTTTGACATGAATAACTTTTGTGTATTAGCTCTTCGTCATAACGTAAAAATATACATTCGTGATCAGAATTTTAAATTTGACATGAAACGTCGCAACGCTCTCCCACAAACTTACCTGATATGTTTTTAATTTACCTGATATAGTTTTAAAAACAATTTTATTCATACTATACGATTGAGGTAAAAGTCTATACAATATTAATTTAACAGCAGCAAGCAAGCAAGAGCAGCCATCTTGAAACATGAAAACAATAACATTGAAAACCTATGCGTATTTAATTAATATTCGGTATGTGAACTGTGTGTTGATTGGACAGTATTTTAAAGTTCTTTGCATAATTATTTTCGAACAGAATTTACTAATTGACTGCTAAAAGTTGTTGGCTAATTGTTGCATCCGTTTGAACATGCTGACCAACAATCGTCCAACAATTGTCCAACATTGTTGTGGTCCAACAATGTTGGACAATGTTGCATCTGTTTAAACAGGCCTTTAATATCAACAATTTAGCAATAATTGTCTTTGGCACTTTTCTAGACCTTTGTCAAGGGTGTATAACTTAATAATAAAACGATATGAAATAATATATTAAAATACTTGTGCTTTTAACAATATGAAATAATATATTAAACATTTGAATGCTGTTAAAGATATGTTAGCATTTTAATCATAGATATAGGAGATCTAGATTGCTAACGCATACCTAGCGCAGGCGGGGCCTACATGATAAATCCAAGATGGCGGTACAACAGGGCAAAAAGACTATAGATTCTATTACGAAAATCAGGATTTTTGCATTTTTTGCCGTCGCATTGTTTCGAAACTTATTCGGTCAAGCTTTATGGTAAAGAGAAACTTACCGCGAAGATTTTGAGCATATATATGATTGAATTGGATGAAAACTCGCAAAATTATCCAGCGATAAAAGTTCGTGTGAAATGGTCAGTTGGTCAGTTGGAGCGTTTTATTGCCAGAAATAATGTTAACATCTAGCATTGTGAATGGTGTTTTATACTTTCATCTCTCATCATCATCTGCTCTGTCCTCATAATTATGAAAAATGAACTGTTATGTCCCCCCCCCCCCCTCCTTGCTTGTTAGAGAAGTAAACTGATGAGAGCACTGGATGAGGGTCTATCATCTATGGTCTATTATAATTTGCTTTTTATGCAAATAGTGAGCAAAAATTAAAGCAAAACTGTACAAGTTACATATATAGTACTATATCAGGGGCCGGTTGTATCAAGCCCGTTTAGCTTAAACAGTGGATAAGTCAAAATTAAAAACACTCTTTTCTCTCTCGCGAATCAGTCAACTTAAATATTCTGCACTGAATATGTAGTTGTAAACATTATCGTTCTATTAAGGTTCAAAACTTTTAGTTTAGTTGTTGAATGAATCTATAGACTTGCTTTCTATTTTGAGCTTAACCACTGTTTAAGCTAAACGGGCTTGATACAACCGGACCCTGTACTATACACCAACTTTTATCGATGGATAATTTTTTGAGTTTTCATCCAATTCAATCATATATATGCTCAAAATCTTCGCGGTAAGTTTCTCTTTACCATACAATTTGACCAAATAAGTTTCGAAACAATGCGACGGCAAAAAATGCAAAAATACTGATTTTCGTAATAGAATTTATAGTCTTGCCCTGTTGTACCGCCATCTTGGATTTATCATGTAGGCCCCGCCTGCGCTAGGTATGCGTTAGCAATCTAGATCTCCTATATCTATGATTTTAATACATGAATAAGGATTGTAATTACAGAAGAATTACAGCATTGAATGTGATATATCAGTATATTGATCCTTAACCCATTAAGCTGCAACTATGTTGCTTTTGACAATTTTACTCGTCAAGGGGAGAGTCTTCCAAGCTCTTTATTAATGAGCTTCAGTTGTATAAAATGATTTGTTTGCAAAAGCTGGAAGATGTATGAGCGCTGAGACAATGCCTCAAATGTTCTCTTTATATATTTTCAGATTAATATTGGAACTGGATTATAGCCCGGTGTGCTCCAAATATTGTTTTCAAGCCTCAACAATCAGATCTGGATTGAGTTGACAAACTGGTGTTGTAAGGTAAGAATTAACAAGAATAAATAGTCAGCTTTTAGTGCTTTCTATGAAAAAAATCACAAACTGGCCCAGCTAAGGTGGCCACCTAGGCCAGACAAATCAGTCTCGATCTTATAAACAGCCCCGACAAAAATTTAGTAACTAGTAACAACATAATTACACATGAATCCTAAGTTTACCTCCAAATGCAGCCATTTTAAGGCCTGTTAACACTGACACTGTGCTCAATTTTGGTACCCGTAACATGTTTACCATGCTTGGACTACCTATTCATACTGGCCGAGCAGAGATTAATTTGGTACAGGTACCAGTTTTATCTGTGCTGTACCAAAAATTGAGCATAGTGTGTAGGGCTTTAGTAGTTTAGTGCTTTAATAATCTAAATTATGCTAGAAGTATAAAGGGTCAGTGTGCAATAGCCAATTTTCTGTCATGAATGAGTCATTACAGTATGGTACATGTAGAGCTGTCCATAGGCCTGCAATAATGCAGGGGGAGGGCTGTGGCTGGACCCATTGACCTGCAATTTGTCCTAATGTGCTCTGTCTTGTTAAATTACTCTGTCTGATACCAAACAATTTTACCTATCTTTCGATGCTTCATACTAAGTCCAAAAAAAGAAATGCCTGGGTTTCTATTTCTCATATGCAAAAAATGTACTGGCAGGGTAGGTAGGGTTTTCTTTTTTTCTTGTAAATTTTTTATTATAAATGTTCATGCATAAGAATGATATTCTACATCAATTACGGCAGCACAGATGACACAAACATTCATTAAATATTACATCAACTTTGATTTTGAAACAAACAGGTTATACTTTCCTTGTAGGTTTTCATGGCGATAAAACATATAATACTTTTGTTTGTGGAAACACCATATGTAGTTACATGGTGTTTCCACAAACAAAAGTATTATATAGCTAGTACAAAACTAACGCCACAAACTGGGTATAAAAAAATTGTTCCGAACTCTTTGCAAACTTCAGATAAAAAGATTAGGGTCGGTGATTTCTTTGGCCTAACTCATTAGTAGGCCCTAATGTCTCCTGTAATATACTTTACAAAAACAGTATCAAATCAAATGTAACCTAGTAGGTCGTTAATTAAGCCAATACAGTATATACCTGGTAACCCATTAGACGTGGCTACCCTGAGGGCATCCCCTATTTGGCCTAACACTATCTAGATTATTCTTGATGTCTCAATGCCAATTAAATCTAAAACATATTAAATAAATCTGATTTTATCAATTCCTATTTTTTCAGCTTTTGTTCTGGATGATACAGTCTATGGAAAGACAGCTGCCATGCAGTACATGGTACAGGACAAATGCTGTGGGGCTTTAACTAAAAGCAACCAGCTGAGTGAGACTTGACATTAACAATTAATGACTTTTAGGTACTCATTATTTATTTCTGGCCATGTATATAAATATAATATTAGGAAATTTTAAATAAGTATAGGTTATAGTAAGTCTAATTACTCTGACCCAGGAGCCGGTTGTTCAATGCTGGACTAGCACGAACCCTGGGTTAAAATTTAGCCTACTGTTTTAGTTTGTGTATTTCTACACGCCTGTTTATTTCAAAACTTCAGAGAAGAAAACTCCTATCAATCCAGACAAGGTCTCTGAAGAATTATTTCCAAATTTATAGATAAGCTGTCTGGAAGTTTGCTTTGAATTTTAGGTTAACCTAGGGTTAAGTTAATCCACCCTTGAACAACTGGCTCCTGGAGAAAAATTGATTGTACAGTCTTAAATTTATCTATATGTGTAACCTATAATTATATATTTACTAATAAATACATTTACTATTCTGATCTAATATTTCTTCGTATTAAATTATTTATGGCTTCAAGTGAACATGACAGAGGTACAGTTGCAGCAACGTGATGTTGCAGAAGTAAGAGGAAATAGTTTTATGCAAGAGATAAATCTCGCTTGGTGGCAGTTGTGTTACATATCTGTTTGGTAGATAATATACAGATAATTATATCTGTAGGAAACTATACTGTCACATAACTGTGTCAGATGTTATTGGGCCAAATTCCTATATGTTGCAGATACGTGACAGATATCTGTCATATAACTGTGACAGATATCTGTCACATAACTGTGACAGATATCTGCCACATAACTGTGACAGATATCTGTCACATAACTGTGACAGATATGTTATGGGGCCGAATTCCTATATGTTGCAGATATGTGACAGATACTTTCGTACATATATTTGCAGATATTTTACAGAACTGTGACATATATCTGTCAGTTTGGTAAGGGTATAGCCAGGATTCCTGGCTTCCGGCAACGGATTATCGCAAAGCCTCATGTTCCGTTCCAAGGATCGCAGGCTGGGGGAACGAGATTGTCTAATCTTGAGAATTATACAGTTGCTTGCCAAAAGTTTGAATATTCAAGCCCAAAAAGTTAAATATTTTGCAAAATTTCCTAAACTAAACCCAATGGGGAACTTGTGTGCAGGATGGTTCACAAGATCGGGGGCATGTTGTTCAAAAACCTGGTTGATATATTTTTCCAGAAATCTTGTCTGAATAATCAGAATTTCTATTTTCTAAAGTTTTGAAATAAACACACATGCAGAAATTAATGCACAAACCAGAAACAGCAGGTTGAGTTTTAACCCATTGTTATTGCTAATATAGCTTTGAACAACCAGCCCCAGAAGGCAGCATATAAGCAAAGGAAACCCTAAGCAATTTGGTTTAAAATAGCTTAAATGAAACCATGAAACTAGTTATCAAACTAAATGCATAGTTGAACATGTACCAACTTATTGGAAAAGTCTGTAATGAAATTTTGCAAAATATTAGATAGATAGATAGATTTATTAAAAACACTACATATGGCAGTCACAGAGACTGAATTACGTAGGTATACAAGTTATTAGTATATATTATTAAAACTTACATTATATTAAAGCATCTAAAACCGTATATAAGTCCTAAGAAAGTTAAAAAGTAGTAATACATTGGTTGCATGCATAGTTTAAAAATGCAAGTACTGTCCGTGTTTACTACATGACGGCACGAATGTATTTTTGAACCGATTAGTGCTAATAAAAGGCAATTTGTAAGCTCGATTGTGTCTTAAGTTGTGATGTGGTATATTTGTTTTTGGTAAAAGGTGGTGTAACTTATGATTGCTATCAGTCAACGTTGATCGAAAGAGTGAATCACACAAGATTTGGCGACGAGTGGACAGCGTATCAAGATTTGATTTAACCTTTCTTCATACGTGATTCCTGGAAAAATGAAGGATAATGTGCGTTTCTGAACTCGTTCTAAGTTCTAAACTTTTTGGGCTTGTATTTAAACTTTTGGCAAGCAACTGTAGGTGGATGCATAGTGGATGAAAAATGAAAATAGAACATTGATATTTTTAATTAAAGGTGATCTACAGTCTGATGTGCACAAATGAGTCCACTTTTTATGATACAAACAGTTTAACTATGTTTTGAGTTCTTGAAGAGCCTGATTGTTGTTTCTTGATAATTTATTATACTCTAGAAGCTTGAAAATATAAATAGTTGTCGAATAAAGCTCAATATTTTGGACACAAAAATGTAAACAAAGGCTTTGTTTACATACGGACTGTAGATCACCTTTAACTAATTTTTTCAGTTTTTGTTTAAGACCGTAATTATGAACAAAAATATTTTGTTCAGTAAGCATATTATGTGTCCAGTAATGTACATTAGTTTAATTAATGTTTTGAATACTTTTGAAAAACCATTTCTATAAGGTTAACAGAGTAAAATGTCACTTACATACAGCTCATCTCCCAATGTGTAGAACCATTATTTACGCTTATCTACTGATAACCAGCCAAACATGTGTTAGTTTTTTTATCATTTCATGTTAACACAACCACGATTACATTAATTGTTAATACACCAAAGTTCATTTCTCTGTTCCACTATGGCATCAAAACTCATTTCTAGCAGTGCATTTAATGCTGTAAAAGGAACATCATCTGTTACCTCAAATGATGCTTCATCATCCAAACTCATTTCATTAATGGCTAGTATTGCAAGTTCTTCATCAGTTCCAAGGTCATTCCAATCCTCAGGCAGTAAGTATTCCTCTTCATCTGAAAACAAGTCTTCAGGATTTGCATGGAAATGCATGTCATTCATATCACAAAACACATTTTGTAAAATGTTGAACACTTTATACGCATGATGTATATCCCAAATTTCCACATGATTGCAAATATCTTCAATTGTAAAAAGCTTGTCAGCATTATTGATCACTTGTGAGATCTGAATATTAGAGAATCCAAGTACAAATTTAGGATGTGTGAAAATTTTCAATTTGCCACTAGCATCTCGTTTTACAATATCTGACATCAAGCTCTTATAAAAGTGATATAGGTCACTTCTTAACTGTTCAGCATTTTCTGGGGATACCTTATGTTGCTTTGTAGACTTGTTGTTTGAAGCCTCTGTAACTGGGTTTGGGTATGAAAGTATATTACAATTTTCAGATCCACAGTTGCAAATATGCGAGCAATTATCACAACATAGGTGAAGGGGTTCTTTGGGAGTAAGTTGTGCATCAAAAAATTGCAATAAGAATTTGCGTCTACAATTGCTTGTTTCCAGGTAAAGTTTCATTTCCCTGTCAACATGTGTAAGTTGCATGCCTTGATAAACCAGATATGCAATACTTGCAACACCATCTCTGCCACATCGGCCACTTTCTTGCATAAATGATTCTATGTTTTTAGCTGGTCCAAAATGAATGGTTCTATAAACTTTTTTGCAATCAACGCCCATGCCAAATGCAATTGTCGCAACTAATACTTTGATACAACCATCATCCTTTTCAAATGAATCCAATATATTAATTTTGTTTGAAACAGGAGTACAGAATGAAGCATTTCAAGCAAAACTCTTCTTGGATCTTGATTCTTAGGATCCTCATATATATATTCTCCAAGTTGCGACTTTAAAACAGAGTAGGTCATAGCACATAGTCCTGGTCGCTGATATACCTTGTATAGTCCTGGTCGCTGATATACATCAGTAAGCCATTTAAAATAGCTTGATACACTAGTGACATTCTTCTACAAATACTTTCTGCTTACTTTCGCTAGCAATTCGCCTTCCCATTGTATTCCATTAGCCAATAGCATTCAAATGCACAAGACACACCCACTTTGAATGTCAACTGTAAACTTGTAAAATGTAAATGTAAACAAGGAGCGTGCGATAATCAAATAATAACACGGTATATACATATTTAAATGGCCATAAATGTGAACAGATCGAGTTTTCTGAGCCAAGATGGCGTCGATCCAACACGTGCGTACATCGCGTCGTCAACAAATGCAATTTTAAGGTTTAAAATCGGTAGAGATAGTCTATTCTATACTGAATTATCTTTTATAAAGATCGAAGGTAAATATATTTGATATAAATTATATGAAAATCAATTATTTTGGCAAATAATAACCGAAATAAAAATCATGGCAACCGAGATGACAACAACATCGTCAATTGACAAACCGACCGATCTAAACAGATTTGAAGTCGAAAATTTCAAGAACACAAACGCCAAACGAGTCCCATTTGAAGATCTGGATTACTCTATTTACAAAAATGCTAACCTTGTTACCTTCTCAACATCCGAAAAAAGATTACCTAAATGGATAAATTTTATGAAGCAAAGATATTATCATGGCCTCGAAGACAACAACATAATACAAAGCCGATACGAAGAGTTAGATAATCCTAACGAAAAATCAAAATGTGACAAAGTTCTAATCTCTCTCACATCAAAAGAAGCGTCAGAAAACATACTAACGATCACAATAATGATAACGACGGGCAGAATACAAGTTCAAGGACGATTTATGAAGGAATGGGGCAACAACGAATTTGACCCTTTGGTAGAACTCGTAAACTCTCCCGACTCAGTGAAACTGGATGCCACCAAAGACATAAACAACTTTCTTGATACAATTACTCAGAAACGACCCAGTACCACCACCACACCATCAACAACAAAAGATCAACATCCTACGGATCAAACTAACTCACCAAATTCACCTAAACAAAAAGCATTATCAACAGTAAAAACAAACCTTGCTTCTCTCGAAGCTGAATTTGTGGAATTTTCCCAAAATACAAACAAAGCAATCCATGAACTTACCGCTCTGCTGACAAACAAAGACGAAGAAATACAACAGTTGAAAGGTGAGATAAACACTCTGAACACAACTAAAACTCACAACCAGAAATCGTTTAGTGATCTAACTATCAAACAATTTGAGTCAGAAGAGCAAATCAAAAAGTTACACAACCGATGCAAATCATTGGAGGATAAAAACACTCACCTAATCTGCCAAATCGCTGCTCTTTGTGAAAATCTGAAACCTACAGAACACCCTGGAACCTCGGATAAATCAATTATCACAGACCCACCTACAACCGAGACACCGCATCCTAATGAAAACCCAACTACTACCACTACAATAACCACAACAGAAACAACCTACAAGATTCCAACAGCCAATAGATTTGAGCATTTATCAAATTTATCAAATGAATCAATCCCTAGTCCCAAAAACCTACCAACAACTGAGCAGTCAAAAGTAAACACGTCAAACCCCAATGAAGAGTCCATAACAAACAATATTGAAACAATTATTATTTGCGACAGCAATGGCCGACATTTGAACCCAAATCTTCTTTGTCCCAATACCAAGAGTAAATACATTAGATGCCCAACCCTTTTTGAAGCTGAATCAATAATAAGAAATTTGACATATGACTCACCCAAAACTTTCATCATTCATAATGGAACAAATGACCTGGAAACAACTCCTTCCAACGATGACATGATTAACCGAATACAAGAAGTGATTAAATGTATAAATAAGAAGTACCCTCTAAGTCAAGTTATTGTCTCAAGTCTTCTCCCCCGAAAAGATGACCTAAATAAAAGAGCATCGGAAATCAACAAAGCAATTCAAAAGATCTTCGAGAAGAACAAAACTGTCAAAATTGTACAACACAATAACATTATGTGCACAAAACATCTAAAAGACAAGAAACACCTTAATGAGATAGGTGTCAAACTATTTGCCCTCAACCTCAAACGAGCATACTTTAATAAACCCTTCCAAACAACATACAGATACCACTCTCCAGAAACAAGATCCTCCAATTACAGATACAGCCAAATTCCCACCAAAAATCAGTATATCCATAATAACCGTCCAACACACCACAACCCAGATCAAGACCACATTTCCCAACAGCACCCAAGACCAAAAAGCCCTACTACGTACCCATACAACTCCTACCATCACCACCAGTTCCCGATGAGAGACAATCCAAGTCCTTGGACAGCAGAAAAACAAACCAGAAGATATGATAGTCCAGAAACAAAGCAAATTCCCATGGAGATAGTTCAGCTGATCAAACACCTAAATAGGTATGTTAACTAAACATTAAAGTTGATACTATAAACTTAACTCCCAAGTAACATCTCTCTACATAACTATATATATATATTATTTAGATATAATAACATACTTTCAATAATTTTGATGTTATATATGGTATCAATATAGTTTAGACTATTCTCTACCATTCCCCAGCCTATAAATGCATACTAATATATCACTTAGTACATGGAACATCCATGGTCTTTCACATAACACACTAGGTGATAAAATTATGAACAAAGATTTCCTTAACAATATTAGTAAAATAGATTTTATATTTCTCACTGAAACCTGGTCTAATGCTGACATTGACCTCCCAGGTTTTAAGGCTTTTGTCTCTAACACTACAATACCACGAACTGATAAAGCATGTAGAATATCAGGTGGTATTACCTTACTGTATAAAGCAGAATATGAAAAACATATTTCAATTGCCAAAAAGTCAGAAAATCTTTTATGGTGTAAAATCTCAAAAGATCTTTTAAGCACTAACACAGATTTATTTATATGTGGTGTATATATTCCACCAGAAAAATCAGTATACTTTGACAATGAAATTTTTGAAGAGCTTGAAAACGATATTATTTCCTTTTCATCAAAAGGCAAAACTATGATTCTTGGTGATTTTAATGCCAGAACATGTAAATTGGAAGATTTTGTATCCAAGGATGGAAACAATTTCATCATTGATGCAAGTGAGAATTGCATGCTTCCAAAAAATAGAGAAAACTTTGATAATAATATAAATAACCATGGCAAACAATTAATCAATATATGTAAAAATACTGACATGAGAATCATTAATGGGAGAACCAAAGGTGATTCTCTCGGTAGACCCACTTTCCATGGAAGAAACGGTGCAAGTGTCATTGACTACATTATATGTGACCAAGACACCTTTCAACGTGTTAATAATTTTATTGTCAAACCACCAACATATTTATCTGATAATAGCCAAATAGTGGCATGGTTTGATATCCAGACAATCCCTAAAACTGAAGAACATGACCAATCCAAACCACCATTACATAAACTGCCGCTTCAATTTGATTGGTCAGAAAATTCAAAAACTAATTTTAGAAAAGCACTCAATTCACCTGAAACCCAAAACAAAATGATTGAATTTCTAAGCACAAACTTTACTAATGACATAAATGGTGTCAATGAATGTGTTACAGAATTCCAAAATATTTTAACTAATGCATCCAAAAAGTCTTTGAAAATCAAGAAAAAGAAAACTAGACGAAAAATAACTAACATAGCAAATAAAAAATGGTTTGACAAAGAATGTCGAATTAAGAGACATGAACTTCGAAAGCTTGCAAACCAGAAACATAAAGACCCCAAATCTTGGTCTAAGAAATGCATATCAAACAGCTCTCAAAATATACAAAGATACTCTACAAATCAAGAAAAACGAATTCCACAAAAATAAGATTGACGAACTCATAAAGGCAACTGAAAACGACCCTAAATTGTTTTGGAAAACTCTCCAAAATACCAGTGACAATTTAGATAATACAACTAATTCGAAAAACTCACCAACTGAAGGCCAATGGCTCAAACACTTTGAAAAACTACATTGTAAACATGACCTGTCAGAAAATCATGAAATATTCATTAAAAATCTTGAAGAAAATGAAAACGATAAAGATCAATATAACCAACTTGACAATGAGATAACAGATCATGAGATACTAAATGCAGCTAAGAAAATTAAAACCAAAAAAGCCGTATACTCTGATCGGATAAGTAATGAAATAATTAAGTCAAGTGCGGACATTCTTATAAAGGGATTTAGAAAGATATTCAATACTATATTAAAGACTGGACAATTTCCATCATCTTGGTGTGAAGGTCTTATTACCCCAATCTTTAAATCCGGAAACAGACTAGACCCAAACAATTATAGAGGAATATGTGTTTCAAGCTCCCTAGGGAAATTATTTTGTTCTATCCTCAACAATAGATTAATGACTTATGTAAATGAAAACGAAATAATACATCCATGTCAAATAGGCTTTATGCCTGGAAACAGAACAGCGGATCACATATTAACTCTAAAAACACTGCATGACAAATATGTTAAACAACACAGTAATGGAAAAATTTATGCCTGCTTTGTTGATTTTAAGAAAGCGTTCGATTCAGTTTGGCACGACGGCCTCTTCTTAAAATTATTAGAAAATAAAATAGGAGGGAGATTCTATGACCTGATTAAAAACCTGTACTCAAATACACAATGTGCTGTTAAAGTATCAAATAATAGAACGCCCTTTTTCCCTTACAGTAGAGGAGTTCGTCAAGGGTGTATTCTAAGTCGACTCCTATTTAATATTTACATCAACGAATTACCAAAACTGTTTGAAAGCACAAACTCTGATCCATTTATACTACCTAACGGTACATCAATCAGTAGCCTCCTATATGCAGACGACCTCATTATTGTATCAAAATCAAAATCTGGCCTTCAAAACTGTTTAAATACACTTGATAGTTGGAAGAAAAAATGGCTGATGAAAGTCAACCTGAAGAAAACCAAAATAATGATTTTTCAAAAACATAATTCAAAAAAACAAAACCTAAACTTGAACTTTACAATAGGTAACAAGTCAGTCGATATTACAAATGAATACACATATCTAGGTTTAAAGATAACCCCAAATTCTCAGTTGCAACCAAACATCTAAGTGAAAAAGCTATGCATGCTCTATACAAAATACGTAAAAACGTAGATTTTCACTGCCTACCCGCTAATTTAGCTTGTAAAATCTTTGACAGTGTGATTTCACCAATTCTACTTTATAATTCGGAAATATGGGGAGCATACATAGACAATGATTTCGCCAAATGGGATAAAACCGTCACTGAAAAAGCTCATTTGAAATTCTGTAAACTATACTTGGGTGTCAACAGAAAAGCCAGTAACCTTGCCAGTAGAGGGGAACTGGGCAGATACCCATTACAAATTTCAATACTTAAAAGGATACTTAGGTATATTAAAAACATATGCCAACTCCCAGATTCATGTATCGCGAAACAAGTTTTCCATTATTCGAAAGAGCTATACATGAACAATAATGAATCTTTTTACTCCAATGTTATAAAAGTTTTGAAAAGATATCTTCCTGAACTAGACGATACAATGGATCTAGAAACATTTACTAAAGACACGATTATAGACTCTTTCATCAAAAAAAGCGTCAAAGACAACTATGTTTCATTCTGGAATGATCAAGTAAGAAATTCCAGAAAACTATCATTTTACTATACATTTAAAAAGAAATATAAAATGGAAGAATATCTTAACACAATAAAAGACCCATCCCAAAGAAGAATGTTTGCAAAATTCCGAATAAGTAATCACAAACTACTTATAGAGTACGGCCGCTATCAAAATATACCCCGTGAAGAAAGATATTGTAAATTATGCGGCACTCAGAAAGTCGAAGACGAATTTCACTTTGCCTTCGAATGTCAAAATGATGAAAACATTAGGAATGATTCCAGCAATATACTGAAAAACATTTTTCAAATGACTCTTGTAACAGAGTCAAAGCAAAACTTCTTGAGTCATGTTATTTCAAGCACAGATTCAGTTTTAATCGACCTATTTTCAAAATTCATTGCAAAATGTTTTAACATTAGAGACAAAAGCCTTCAAACAAGAGATACTAACTAAATTACTAAATTTTCCTATATTTCTATTATATATTATCTATTGTATATATTTCTTTATCCACTTAATGTTGTAACTACAGTAAAATTAGTTGTTATTTACTATAACTTTTATATATATATATATAACTTAGCAATACCTGTAACTAGGTCATGCAAATAAAAGCTTTAATAATAATAATAATAATAGCGTTACTTTTTTGCTGTTTTTTGCCCATTTATGAAAAATGGCAAAAGTCGCTAAAAATGGAAGAAAAGTTAAGGCTATAGGCCTACTTTTCTGCTGTTTTTTTCCCATTTATGAAAAATGGCAAAAGACGCTAAAAATGGACGAAAAGTTAAGGCTATAGCCTTACTTTTTTGCTGATTTTTGCCTCTTTTTCGAAAATGGAAAAATCGGCTAAAAATGGAAGAAAAGTTAAGGCTATATAGTCTTAGTTTTTTTGCTGTTTTTGCCTCTTTTAAATATCGTAAAAGTGGCTGAAAATGCACGAAAAGTAAAGGCTATAGCCTTAATTTTTTTCCAATTTTCGGCCCTTTTTCAAAAATAGAAATAGTGGCTGAAAATGGACGAAAAATAAGGGCTATATAGGGTTACTTTTTTGCTGTTTTTTGCCTCTTTTTCAAAAATGGAAAAAGTAGCTAGAAATGTACGAAGAATTAAGGCTATAGCCTTACTTTTTTGCTGTTTTTTGCTTGTTTTTCAAAAATGGAAAAATCGGCTAAAAATGGAGGAAAAGTTAAGGCTATATAGCCTTACTTTTTTGCCAATTTTCGGACCTTTTTCAAAAATCGAAAAAGTGGCTGAAAATGGACGAAAAATAAAAGCTATATAGTCTTACTTTTTTTGCTGTTTTTTTGCCTCTTTTTCAAAAATGGAAAAATCGGCTAGAAATGGAGGAAAACTAAAGACTATAGCCTTACTTTTTTGTCATTTTTGGCCACTTTTTCAAAAATGAAATAAGTAGCCGAAAGGTTAAGGGTGTGGATCCAGGGTATGCCCCCGTGAAAAAAGTGGAATCTTGCATCTCTGAAAAACGATACTTCTTGCATTATAAGGAGGAATTTTAATATAGGTACAGTATACAGTATATAAAGGATATTAGACGATTTATGCGAAAAGATATGGATTTTATGTTCGAGTGCACGTGGCAAAAACAATACCTCACGAGTGAGCGCAGCGAACGAGTGAGATGTTGTTTTTGACACAAGAACATAAAATCCATACCTTTTCGCATGAACTTGTTTAATGTTCTGTTTATTATATGGACTATAGGGGCCGGTCGTTATTTATGGCGGGGGGGCTGAAGAGAAAATGAGTGGGAAAACAAAGGGTGGAAATGGGTGGGTTGAATAAAAATTCACCAACCCAAGGGGCGAATAAAGTAAAAATCGTTAAGTCGAAAAATACTGAAATATTTGTATTATTTGTTTTATTATATAAGATCGAATAAATGTCATTTACTTTATATATCGATTTGCAAAGTATTCCATTTGAACCTGCCATGGATATCATGGATAAAGTGACAGAGTTCATGCTTGTTGGCTTTTTTGTTCTCTCAAAAACTCAAATAAGTCAATTTATAATTTTAGCTTTTAAATATAAGTAAATTGACAAAATTAAGTTAGGGTGGATCTACGATTTTTGAATGAGTGCTGGGGTTGGGTGGAGAGAAAATGTTTTTGAAGAAGGTAATTGGGTGACTAAAAAATTTGGCCAAGACAATGTTTCTCCTCATGCAGTGCCCCCTCCCCCCGGCCATAAATGACCGGTCCCTTATCAGAGTGACAAAAATACACACAAAGACGATATGTAAATAAGGACGCGAAAGACCAGTGTAAAAGCGATACTTTTTAAATTACAGTGCAAACATAAAACTACAATAAATTTTACTTTTCTCAAGATGTCTTTTAAATGTTTTCGTTTTATTTCCCCCTCAAAACAACAACAATGAAAATGGCGGGAAATTTTCGAACATCGTATACGTATGTCACTCGCAGGGGTGAAATTCGGAAAATACGAACACCTATGGATGTAGTGACGTATGCGTTCTACGAGTGTTTTAGTTTCCAGTAAAACACCATTGTCCATATAATAAAATTATAAATATATCAGCTTTTAGCAGTGGCTATGAAATCATGATTATATTGTCGGAATATACTCGGGAGGCTTAATTCATTGGCAGGCGCTGGGCTTTCTCCCCCCCCACCCCTCCCCTCCTCCGCGCGCTTGGCGGCGCTAATGACGAAAGTGGGTAAAAGCAATTATTTGTAACGGTCTTATTATCTTATATATATACATGCGTTGGTCTCTATTGATAAGTACATTAGAAAACTGTCAATTTTTTGTGCTCGTTATTTTGATGAATTCTCTGTTTAAGTTGTTTTGTTTGTTTTTCAATATCTTTTATCCTACCTTCCATGGCTTCCATTTTCTGCTTTGCTTGTGTAATCAGGTTCGCGTCCCTTCGAAAAACAAAACAATCCAGCGTTTAAAAATCATTCATACACATGGACATTGCACAAATAGTCTATATTTTATTATATGGACAATGGTGTTTTACTGGAAACTAAAACACTCGTATAAAACTCATACACACTACATCCGGGACCATCGCTTTTATTCTGGTCTTTGGCGTGCTTATTTACATGTCGTCTTGACTTTGCGTGTATTTTTGTCACTCTGAATGAGTCCATATCTGATAAACATATCACTAAACGGTTGTAAGAAGATATAGATTTATGTTCTTGCGTCAAAAACAATATCTCACTCGTTCGCTGCGCTGACTCGTGAGATATTGTTTTTGCCACTCGAACATAAAATCCATATCTCGTCGCAAGCGCGTACGTGCATAATATCTCTCTATTACCAAAATACGCTTGGAATCCACAAAGCATGCCTTTTATTATAATGGAGCAATTGAATTCCACAAATTGCCCAAAGATATTAGAGAATTGGAAATTGACAGTTTTATGCTTTTTAAACGAAAACTGAAAGAGAACCTTAGTTCATTATAATCCTTTGCAGAATTGACTGCAGTTAGATTTTTAATATTTTTAATATATTGACTTTTTATACTCATAATTTTTAGTAGTTTTAGGTAAACAGGACATGCGTTGATAGCAGTGAATAGTCACTGAAGCATTTTTTATCCTGTGTAAAATATTTTTTAATAATAATAATAATCTACAGTATATACAAATGATGAATATGTGTTATCATATCGCTCATAAGTTATGAGCGCAATGCTATATGATTAATACATGGTTCCAGCTATAGACTACATTTTGATGTAGGCAAGAAGAACAAAACCTATCACCACAGCTATAGAAAGAGCATGTTGAAATAAGTAAATTTGGCCGCGAAATGTTGTAAAATGCGGAAAATATAGGCGTACGAAATTTGCAAATTTTGTATTAATTTGTATTACGCGCGGGACTGATATGCATTTTCCCGCGCGTATTAAACACATGCAAATGATACAACATTTGCAAATTTCAGATTTCGCAGGGCTATATTTTCCTCATTTTACAACATTTCGCAACCAAACTTTGCAATTTTACTCATTTCAACATGCTCTTTCTAGCTGTGGTGATGGATTTTGTTCTTCTTGCCTAGATCAAAATTTAATCTATTCCTGGAATCATTCATTCAACTAAAGTATATACGCCATTAAAGAAGATTAAATTCAAACTTACTTTCCGTTATTTCTTGACACAGAATCATGTTGTTTACTGAGCATCTTTTGTATTCTAGATTTTTCTTCTTCCAGTTTAAATAGCTGCATGGGAACATAAGAGAGAAAAAATTAACAGCATTAGTATTTTTTCCTGCAAGTTGATTGGTCAAATTCGACGTATTAATCCAGGGACGCCGGAACGATGTGAAGGCAAGGGGGGGGGGGCAGATTTTCGTGAAAGGACACTTTTGAATTGATATAAACTAAGATGTTTGCAAAACATCGGGAGTTGAACTTCGCCTAATCTTGTTTTCTATTTATTGGATGATAGGGGTGTGAGGGGGTTCTCCGCCAGGCGATTGTGCTATTCTTGAAGCTCGATGACTGCATTTCTTGCGTTTTCTGAAGCAAATTCGTAAAAGAATTGCACTAACATTTCTGACAATTCGCTATTTCGCCAAGGCAACCTTTAAATTGGAAGGGCACCTTTGCCCCCCTTGCCCCGCCTGGTAGAGGGCAACGGGGCGGCTGCCCCTCCTGCCCCCCCACAAAACTAGAATTTTCAAAATGGCGGCTAACCGTTTTGAAATTTTCCGACAATATTGACAATTTTCCGACGGGTTTCAACAATAGGGGGGCCATGGCCCCCCCCTAGCCCCCCCCCCCCGGCCACGGCGCCACTGGGTGGCTTGACGATATAAGACTTTTATCTGCTCGTGTTAAAAACAATATTTTACTTATTCGCTGCGCTCGTTCATAAAATATTGTTTTAGTATTGGACACTGTTTGATTTCATGTAACGCAAAAGCCGTTTAGCCGCTGTTTCTTCACATTCTGTGGCGTCATTTAAAATTTAACCGAAATTTTCATGCAACTGACCAGTAATTGCTGGAGGCTCGCATTACTTCACTGAAGAAAACTAATGCGCTTTAGGGACCTACATACCTCGACATTATAATTTCTGTCATTTTTACTTTTTCCCGATTTCCTGCGATCGAGCGTGTCACATTGCTGATTCTGTTTTAAATCTTCTATGTTTCCTGAAAATATTAAATTACACAATTCTGATTGACTAATTCTCGGAAACTGGCCCAGTGCTCAGAGCTCAGCACCAGAATCGCAGGGTCGTGGGTTCGATTCCTGTCGGAGGTTGGACTATGTGGTTGCATTTTTCGCAATTAAAGATGATCTACAGTCCGTATGTAAACAAAGCCTTTGTTTACATTTTTGTGTCCAAAATATTGAGCTTTATTCGACAACTATTTATATTTTCAAGCTTCTAGAGTATAATAAATTATCAAGAAACAACAATCAGGCTTTTCAAGAACTCAAAACATAGTTAAACTGTTTGTATCATAAAAAGTGGGCTCATTTGTGCACATGCGCAGATCGGACTGTAGATCACCTTTAAAGGGCATATGACTCGAAAATCGACGTTGTAATTTTTAGTCTAATTTGAAAGATCATCGAAAACAGTAGAGTAACTTCTTTGTCAGATTTTTGTTTTCTTGCTTCGTTTTGGAGATATTTCATTTTGTATGATATGCAAAGACCAACTTTCTACGTCACATATGCATAATGAATTACTTTAAAATGTTATATAATTTTGTCACTATCAAATAAATTCGCTCAAAATGAATGATGAGCACGAATGTGTCCACAACAACAACATCCATGTAGGTTTTCTACTGATTGTGTTTAGTTGTATTAAAGATATAGAACTTTTAGGGCTAAATCATTATGCATATGTGACGTAGGAAGTTTGTCCTTTGCATATCATACAAACATGAAATATCTTCAAAACGAAGCAAGAAAACAAAAATCTATCAAAGAAGTTACTCTACAGTTTTCAATGATCTTTCAAATTAGACTAAAAAATAACAACGTCAATTTTCGAGTCATGTGCCCTTTAAAAATGCATGTAGTTTATTTACGCTGCAAATTTCCATCTCTACATAAACCTTTCAACCGTATGCAGTATACTGTACCTTTTCTGCCCCCAAGAGTATTATTGATGAAATCAAAGACATCTTGAACTGGGACCTTGCAATTGAATAAGATACACAAAATTAGCATAAATGTACATTAAAGTACCATTCACTTAATAGTTCAATTTGTAACATTCCCAGATAATATGGCCGCGAATTGATTGCAAACGGTTGTATTGAATCGTTATACCTGATTAACTTTAGAGTTTTGATTGCCTTTCGTTTTCTTTCGTTTAAACGGCTGTTTAAGTTTATTCTTTTCACGTAGTTCTGCGCATGCATCAAGAGACTTGCCTATAATAATGGAAAAGATAAGTATTCCTCTAAATATCGAAGTCAAACCCGTTTTCGACCCAGGGCTGCCAAGAGAGAATTCGCGGGGCCCGGGCCATATCTTCTCTGGGGGCCCCATGACATCATTATTTGTAAGCACACCCACGTCAGTCACCCAACTAGACCTTAGCTAGACTGCATGTGGAACTACTGTAAGGGATCCTCAATTTCAAAAATGCTCCAACCAATTTAAAGAACCTACTCAATTTTAGGCTCTCGCTCTCAAGTTGGGGGCCCTATTAAGGTGGGGGTACGGGGCAATTTGCCCCCCCCCCCTCTCGGCGGCCCTGTTAATTCTACCAGGTGAATTTGTTCACACGAAGCGAAAAACAGATTTCGGTAATGCAATCGATTGGCGAAAAAAAATGTTGGGAAAATATTTTTTCGCTACCAATCAGATGCGCCCAGAGGAAAATAAGTTTGAAAATGACCTTATTCGTGAAAACTAACCTGTCGGTAACAGAATTATTTCAACAGGTTCTACTCGACCATCTTCGTTCTTCCCCAGACCTTTCCTGTATAAAGGTAAAATATTCCCTCATTAAGCTTATTTAAGAGGAGACTGCAGAGGTGTACAGTAACTTAATATTTTCCCGCTTGCCCGGGGCAAGTGAATATCATGACGGGCAAGTAAACGTTTTATCTTGCTTGCTTGCCTTGTCAAAAAACCTGGCCATCTTTAATGTTTTCAATGTCGGATAAATTTTTTATAGTCCATGTACTTGATTCAAATTTTGTTTTTTTTTGTGAGCCAAGCTGGAGAGCAGTAGGAGAACGGGTCAACATGTTGTCCCCTTAATTTATACCCCCTACCTATACAGTAGGTATCCCAGTGGCCATTGTCTGATGGCAAGTGAATTTTATTCAGGGCAACTAATTTTCATGTCCAACTTGCCCTCAGGGGAAGTGGTCGATCAAAAAAGTAAAGTTACACCACTGAGGCTCAAAAGGTAGTAGTTACAGATATATAAGATGCTGAGGGTTACGCCAAGAAAAAAATGCCTAAGTTTTCGGTTTCCTATAACCCTACCTATTTTTTGGCCACTGAAATCACCGAGCCTAATATGTTTATCTGTAGTTTGTTGCAAAGTCCTTGCCAAATTAGACGTCACAAAATGAGAGTTTTCTCCGAAGCGAAGAAACTGTGCTGATGCAATGGGCATCTTTTGTAAAACAAAAGCCCACACAGATTTCTGATTTGACAAAAACACACTCTAACTCTAGGACCCATGTCTGCCAACATTTTCTGCGAAGGTTTTCATTGTTTCAGCACATCATTGGCAAAGAAACAGTCTTTCCTGCGCAAAATAAAACCTTTCAATCTGGACCTACGCCACCTCGTTTTTGCAACAACAAACTTGAAACCAACGTATTTCCTTTTCTTGGCCGTAGTAACTTGTGGAGTCGAAAGCATACGAATGTTGTAAATTTTATACTTACCCAAAAACGTATCCCATCTTTGCCATAAGCTTTGAAGCAATTCCCTAAAAGAATGACATTCCTTAACACCAGCAGCAGCACATAGAGTAGAAAGGTTCAGATTTTGACTTGCAGTACAGCTACCATTACCACTAGCCAATCAAATGCATTTATTCTACCCGATTAACCAATCAAATGCGTATTAAGAGAGGTAGCGATAGTGGAACTCAAACGTGAACCTCTCAAATATAGTTTGGGGGGATGTACTACCCTTTGTCGGAAAAAAACTGGACACTGTTTGATTTCATGTAACGTCAAAGCTATCGATCGCAATGAAATAAAGATCATTGCATTCAGAAAGGACTAACTTAGATTTTGATATAGTAGTATAACACTTGAATTTACTGTACTCTCTGTACATGAAATATTGACTGTGCTATTTATGTCCTTTCTGAATGCAATGATCTTTATTTCATTGCAATAGCTTTTATAGCTTTTACGTTACATCAAATCAAACAGTGTCCATTTTTTTGGGACACACCCGGTAGATAAAGATTCCAGTCACATCTTAATTTGGTGAGCTTCATTTTAACGAAGAATCAACGAGTAAGTACTTCAAACAAACTAGGCATCATTCAGTTCAGAACTTACCTTTGTGTGTCTCTCCCAGTCCCCCAGGGCTCCGCTGCCTCCAACATCGCTGACTTGACAAAATTCTGCAATCACTTTCTCCTCACCGATCTCATTATCCTCATCTTCACTTGATGAATCACCAGCATCGTCAGAATCATCTTCTTGGTCTGAAAATATCATCACACAAGGAATATTAAAAAAAATCGTCTGCCAAAACTGGGATGGGGGGCATATATGGCTCCCAAAACATCGTCTGCCAAGACTAGGATGGGGGTCATAGCCAATGCCCCAACCTAACAAGGTTGCCATGGGGGAAAGAAAAGAACAACATGGTCGGTGCCCCCAGTCTAATAAGGGTCTCTTCAATTTGCGGAAGCTAAAAAAGAAGACAGTACAAGTACTCGGAGTAATGTTTTCTATTTCAGGGATGCAGTAGAATGGTACCCTCATCTCAAGTCTTCCACAATTTTATCCAACTTGACTGAGATTCCACCTAGCTGGGTTGGCTTGTTTCTCATTTGAACACATTTCTCTCCGCATTAACAATGGCATGCAAATCTTGGACGCAGGTGACTTTTCTGGTTAACTGGGCCATGTATGAACTGATCTATAGTGGCTTTGAAGAAAATTTTCTCAGGGATACCATATGGGTGTAGCTACCACGACAGGTCCTTGCCAGTCATGACTGATAAATGTTAGGATTTTGTCCAGAACCCCCCCTGTAGCCTCGCCCCTCCCACAAAAGTCAAGATACTGTAAATGAATCCCTTCACCTTCGTTAGGAAGAACATCTTGTAACTTGACTGTTTTATCCATGTTGTATGTGTCATAATGAATACCAACGTTGTCCGCACTTAAAGACCTAGCAAAGAAGAATATACAATAACTTTATGGTTTCCGTGTTTGGATGGCCTGATCCAAACACGTGGGAATGTTGCGAGAGTTAAGAAAAGCGCGCGAAACACGAGCCGAAGGAGAGTGATTTTGCGCACTTTTCATAACTCGAGCAACATTCCCAAGTGTTTGGATGAGGCCATCCAAATACGGAAACCATAAAGTAGTTGTTTTATAAAATAACAACTTTCCGTGTTAAAATTTCACTTTAAAAAACTTTCAATTTAAATTTCCGTGTTTGGATGGCCTGATCCAAACACGGGTTTCGACCAATCAGAGCACGCGTTATATACATGTTATTTTATAAATTGTTTTATTACGACGTCCTGTAGAGGTGTTAAACCCCTACTGATTCTACATTACTACTACAATATGAAGAAACAGAAGCATCTATAAATCCACAACTGTAATAATATACATACAATATGGTCGCCTTGTACCAAATCCCATCCTCGTATTTCACCAAACATTTGCCATCAACTTTTAGTAAGCTGTAAATACAAAAATAATTAGATATAAATAATTATTACTTATTTATTGGCTAACAGCCAGCTGAGAAATCGTCATATCAACTGAATAGCTGATCCAGGGCTCAAAATAACGGGAGATAGGTCTCCGGTCAAAATGACCGATAAACTTGATTTTAGCTCGGTCAAAATCTGTTTTTGACCGGTTATTGATACGCTTACACTAACAGTGAAACAAAGTATTAAAAACTTGTTTCGATATATCATAGTTTTAATTCAAGACGTCAGCAATCACATTGGATGGGATGAAAGTGTGGCCGGTCAAAATGACCGGTGAGGTAAAAAAATGACCGGTCAAGAGGCATTTTTGGCCGGTCATTGTCCGTTGACCAGCCGTTATTTTGAGCCCTGCCAGTGACCAAATATGGAGTTTTAGCACACTGTAATATTCATTAAAAAGTTTCAATATTTTATATGACTGTTTAATATATTATTATATTTTGTTTTACTTGTTTTATGTAATGTTTTATATTGTTAGTCCATGCTCTAAGTAAAATGATGCACGAAAAACAAATTGAGGGTCATCGTATTTTTCCAACTGCTGCACATAAAGCGATTAAATTTCGTACGTGTGTGTTGTCATAACAACAAACTATGGGTATCCAAAACTAGCACAATTTGTGAGAAGAAATATAAAATATTTGAACATCTTCATATCTGCTCAAAAAAACGCCCAAAAATATGAAGTTCAAAAAGATCAAACTCTTGTACACCTGAATTATTTGAAAACTGTATCGTGCTACCTTAATTTAATTAAATTGGATAACACTGGTGATTATAGGACGGGTTATCACTAGTTTTAGCTGATGCGCTTTCGTCAGGGGCGTAGGAAGCTTCTAGGGCACTTTTCGAAAAAAAAGGGCATCTAAAATTTTTCCCGGAAATGTTGGCGAAGGGGGGAGGGGGACGTCATCTCGAAAAAAAATTTCGGACATAACTAAAAACATTTTCCGGATATACCACATTTTTTCCTAAATACGAAAAAAATTTTCCGGACATAGCAAAAACTTTTCCGGATATATAATATTTTTCTCGGATATGAAAAAACTTTTCCGGAAATAACATAGATTCAAGTGCCCTTTGGGCAAACAATGCAATCTTAATGAAAATTTTTCACGCAAAAAAAGGGCACTTTGCTCCCGGAAAAAGGGCACTTGGCAAAACTTGGCGGGCCTGGCCCCCCCTGCCCCCCCGGTTCCTACGCCCCTGCCTTTCGCTTCTAATATTTACCTGAAATCGGGTTCCTCGTAAGCTTTAAGTTCTGCCATATTAACAACATGACCATGAGAGTATCTAAAAACAAAGATATAAAAATACATTAAATATTTATGTACATGGGGCCGATTGTTCAAAGTTATATTAAAGCGCTAACCCTAGGTATTTCTAGTTTCGTGATTTGTATTCTAATGACAAACTACTGTACATACGAGTATAATGCAAATATTAGTCCGTTTTTCCGATTATATTACGACGACGGACGCAGCTTTTAGCTAGAGGGTGGACGCGGGCGCATTGGAGGTGGGAAGCGGGCAGAGCAGACACAAGACGCGGGCGTCATGGACGCCGCCGCGGGTGTTCTGGACGCAGGCAGAGTGGATGGGTTAGGTTAAGTGGATGGGTACAGGGTTAAGTTATTTCTTGGCAGTATTGTAGCAACTTGACAAAATGACAATTTTGTTACAACTTGTTGACAAGCTTGCTACAAGTCTGCCACGAACACATTTTGTTGACAAGTTTAAGTGACAATCTTGTAGCAACTTTATAAAATGACAACATTGTTACAACTTGTTACTTTATAAAATGATAACATTGTTACAACTTGTTGACAAACTTGCTACAAGTTTGGTGTGAAGTTGCAAATACATCTTGTTGAGAAGTTGTGAGTGACATCCTTGTAGCAACTTGATAAAATAACAACATTATTACAACTTGTTGACAAACTTGCTACAAGCCTGCTGCGAACACATCCTGTTGACAAGTTGTGAGTGACAACCTTGTAGCAACTTGATAAAATAACAACATTATTACAACTAGTTGACAAACGTGCTACAAGCCTGCTGCAAACACATCTTGTTGACAAGTTGTGAGTGACAACCTTGTAGCAACTTGATAAAATAACAACATTATTACAACTTGTTGACAAACTTGCTACAAGCCTGCTGCGAACACATCTTGTTGACGGCTTATTTGCAGACTTATTACAAGATGCGAGATTTTTACGTGTGTAGCACTTGATGAAATAACAACATTGTTACAACCATGTTACAACTTGTTGACAAGCTTGCTACAAGCTTGGTGCGAACACATCTTGTTGACAAGTGGTGAGTGACAACCTTGTAGCAACTTGATAAAATAACAACATTGTTAGAACTTGTTGACAAGCTTGCTACAAGGTTGGTGCAAATACATCTTGTTGACAAGTTGTGAGTGACAAACTTGTAGCAACTTGATAAAATAACAATATTGTTACAACTTGTTGACAAGCTTCGTGCGAACACATCTTGTTGACAAGTTGTGAGTGAAAATGACAACATTTTTACAACTTGTTGACAAACTTGCTACAAGCTTGGTGCGAACGCATCTTGTTGACAAGTTGTGAGTGACAACCTTGTAGCAACTTAAAAAAAATAACAATATTGTTACAACTTTTTGACAAGCTTGCTACAAGCTTGGTGCGAACGCATCTTGTTGGCAAGTTGTGAGTGACAACCTTGTAGCAACTTGATAAAATGACAACATTTTTACAACTTGTTGACAAACTTGCTACGAACACATCTTGTTGAGAAGTTGTGAGTGACAACCTTGTAGCAACTTGATAAAATAACAACATTGTTACATACAAGCTTGGTGCGAACGCATCTTGTTGACAAGTTGTGAGCGACAACCTTGTAGCACACTTGTAGCTACTTGTTGACAAGCTTGGTGAGAACGCATCTTGTTGACAACCTGTGAATGACAAACCTTGTAGCAACTTGATAAAATAACAATATTGTTACAACTTGTAGACAAGATTGCTACAAGCTTGGTGCGAACGCATCTTGTTGACAAGTTGTGAGCGACAACCTTGTAGCAACTTGATAAAATGACAACATTGTTACCACTTGTTGACAAGCTTGCCACAAGCCAGACGCGAACACATCTTGTTGACAAGTTGTGAGTGACAACATTGTAGCAACTTGATAAAATGACAACATTGTTACAACTTGTTGACAAGCTTGCTACAAGCCTGACGCGCACACATCTTGTTGACAAGCTGTGAGTGACAACCTTGTAGCAACTTAATAAAATGACAACATTTTTACAACTTGTTGACAAGCTTGGTGCGAACACATCTCGTTGACAAGTTGTGAGTTGTCGACAACCTTGTAGCAACTTGATAAAATAACGACATTGTTACAACTTGTTGACAAACTTGCTACAAGGTTGGGGCAAACACATCTTGTTGACAAGTTGTGAGTGACAACCTTGTAGCAACTTGATAAAATAACAACATTGTTACAACTTGCTGACAAGCTTGCTACAAGGTTGGTGCAAACACATCTTGTTGACAAGTTGTGAGTGACAACCTTGTAGCAACTTGATAAAATGACAACATTGTTACAACTTGTTGACAAGCTTGCTACAAGGTTGGTGCAAACACATCTTGTTGACAAGTTGTGAGTGACAAGCTTGTAGCAACTTGATAAAATAACAACATTGTTACAACTTGTTGACAAGCTTGCTACAAGCCTGCTGTGAACACATCTTGTTGACAAGTTGTGAGTGAGAAGCTTGTAGCAACTTGATAGAATAACAACATTGTTACAACTTGTTGACAAGCTTGGAACAAGGTTTGTGCAAACACATCTCGTTGACAAGTTGTGAGTGACAACCTTGTAGCAACTTGATAAAATAACAACATTGTTACAACATTTTTACAACTTGTTGACAAGCTTGTTACAAGCCTGCTGCAAACACATCTTGTTGACAAGTTGTGAGTGACAACCTTGTAGCAACTTGATAAAATAACAACATTGTTACAACTTGTTGACAAACTTGCTACATGCAAGCCTGCTGCAAACACATCTCGTTGACAAGTTGTGAGTGACAACCTGGTAGCAACTTGATAAAATAACAACATTGTTACAACTTGTTGACAAACTTGCTACAAGGATGGTGCAAACGCATCTTGTTGACAAGTTGTGAGTGACAACTTTGTAGCAACATGATAAAATAACAACATTCTTACAACTTGTTGACAAACTTGTTACAACTTGTTGACAAACTTGCTACAACCCTGCTGCAACACATGTTGTTGACAAGTTGTGAGTGACAACCTTGTAGCAACTTGATAAAATAACAACATTGTTACAACTTCTTGACAAACTTGCTACAAGGTTTGTGCAAACACATCTTGTTGACAAGTTGTGAGTGACAAGCTTGTAGCAACTTGATAAAGTAACAACATTGTTACAACTTGTTGACAAGCTTACTACAAGCCTGCTGCAAACACATCTTGTTGACAAGTTGTGAGTGACAACCTTGTAGCAACTTAATAAAATGACAACATTTTTACAACTTGTTGACAAGCTTGGTGCGAACACATCTTGTTGACAAGTTGGGAGTGACAACCTTGTAGCAACTTGATAAAATAACAACATTGTTACAACTTGTTGACAAACGTGCAACAAGGTTCGGGGAAAGACATCTTGTTGACAAGTTGTGAGTGACAACCTTGTAGCAACTTGATAAAATAACAACATTGTTACAACTTGTTGACAAACTTGTGACAACTTGTTGACAAACTTGCTTCAACCCTGCTGCAAACACATCTTGTTGACAAGTTGTGAGTGACAACCTTGTAGCAACTTGATAAAATAGCAAGATTGTTACAACTTGTTGACAAACTTGTGACAACTTGCTGACAAATTTGCTTCAACCCAGCTGCAAACACATCTTGTTGACAAGTTGTGAGTGACAACGATGTAGCAACTTGATAAAATAACAACATTGTTACAACTTGTTGACAAACTTGCTACAAGTCTGCTGCAAACACATCTTGTTGACAAGTTGTGAGTGACAACCTTGTAGCAACTTAATAAAATGACAACATTTTTACAACTTGTTGACAAGCTTACTACAAGCCTGCTGCAAACACATCTTGTTGACAAGTTGTGAGTGACAACCTTGTAGCAACTTAATAAAATGACAATATTGTTACAACTTGTTGACAAGCCTGCTGCAAACACATCTCGTTGACAAGTTGTGAGTGACAACCTTGTAGCAATTTGATAAAATAACAATATTGTTACAACTTGTTGACAAAATTGCTAGAAGCTTGGTGCAAACACATCTCGTTGACAAGTTGTGAGTGACAACCTTGTAGCAACTTGATAAAATAACAACATTGTTACAACTTGTTGACAAGCTTGCTACAAGCATGCTGCAAACACATCTTGTTGACAAGTTGTGAGTGACAACCTTGTAGCAACTTGATAAAATAACACGATTGTTACAACTTGTTGACAAAATTGTGACAACTTGTTGACAAACTTGCTTCAACCCTGCTGCAAACACATCTTGTTGACAAGTTGTGAGTGACAACGTTGTAGCAACTTGATAAAATAACAACATTGTTACAACTTGTTGACAAACTTGCTACAAGTCTGCTGCAAACACATCTTGTTGACAAGTTGTGAGTGACAACCTTGTAGCAACTTAATAAAATGACAACATTTTTACAACTTGTTGACAAGCTTACTACAAGCCTGCTGCAAACACATCTTGTTGACAAGTTGTGAGTGACAACCTTGTAGCAACTTGATAAAATGACAATATTGTTACAACTTGTTGACAAGCCTGCTGCAAACACATCTCGTTGACAAGTTGTGAGTGACAACCTTGTAGCAATTTGATAAAATAACAATATTGTTACAACTTGTTGACAAAATTGCTAGAAGCTTGGTGCAAACACATCTCGTTGACAAGTTGTGAGTGACAACCTTGTAGCAACTTGATAAAATAACAACATTGTTACAACTTGTTGACAAGCTTGCTACAAGCCTGCTGCAAACACATCTTGTTGACAAGTTGTGAGTGACAACCTTGTAGCAACTTGATAAAATAACAAGATTGTTACAACTTGTTGACAAAATTGTGACAACTTGTTGACAAACTTGCTTCAACCCTGCTGCAAACACATCTTGTTGACAAGCTGTGAGTGACAACGTTGTAGCAACTTGATAAAATAACAACATTGTTACAACTTGTTGACAAACTTGCTACAAGTCTGCTGCAAACACATCTTGTTGACAAGTTGTGAGTGACAACCTTGTAGAAACTTAATAAAATGACAACATTTTTACAACTTGTTGACAAGCTTACTACAAGCCTGCTGCAAACACATCTTGTTGACAAGTTGTGAGTGACAACCTTGCAGCAACTTGATAAAATGACAATATTGTTACAACTTGTTGACAAGCCTGCTGAAAACACATCTCGTTGACAAGTTGTGAGTGACAACCTTGTAGCAACTTGATAAAATAACAACATTGTTACAACCTGTTGACAAGCTTGCCACAAGCCTGCTGCAAACACATCTTGTTGACAAGTTGTGAGTGACAACCTTGTAGCAACTTGATAAAATAACAACATTGTTACAACTTGTTGACAAACTTGTTAAAAGGTTGGGCTACAAACTTGCGACAACTTGTTGACAAACTTGTTACAACCCTGCTGCAAACACATCTTGTAGACAAGTTGTGAGTGACAACCTTGTAGCAACTTGATAAAATAACAACATTGTTACAACTTGTTGACAAGCTTGCTACAAGGTTGGTGCAAACACATCTTGTTGACAAGTTGTGAGTGACAAGCTTGTAGCAACTTGATAAAATAATAACATTGTTACAACTTGTTGACAAGCTTCCTACAAGCCTGCTGCAAACACATCTTGTTGACAAGTTGTGAGTGACAAGCTTGTAGCAACTTCATAAAATAACAACATTGTTACAACTTGTTGACAAACTTGCTACAAGCCTGCTGCAAACACATCTTGTTGACAAGTTGTGAGTGACAACCTTGTAGCAACTTAATAAAATGACAACATTTTTACAACTTGTTGACAAGCTTGGTGCGAACACATCTTGTTGACAAGCTGTGAGTAACAACCTTGTAGCAACTTAATAAAATGACAACATTTTTACAACTTGTTGACAAGCTTGGTGCGAACACATCTTGTTGACAAGTTGGGAGTGACAACCTTGTAGCAACTTGATAAAATAACAACATTGTTACAACTTGTTGACAAACTTGCTACAAGGTTGGGGCAAACACATCTTGTTGACAAGTTGTGAGTGACAACCTTGTAGCAACTTGATAAAATAACAACATTGTTACAACTTGTTGACAAACTTGCTACAAGCCTGCTGCAAACACATCTTGTTGACAAGTTGTGAGTGACAACGTTGTAGCAACTTGATAAAATAACAACATTGTTACAACTTGTTGACAAACTTGCTACAAGTCTGCTGCAAACACATCTTGTTGACAAGTTGTGACAACCTTGTAGCAACTTAATAAAATGACAACATTTTTACAACTTGTTGACAAGCTTACTACAAGCCTGCTGCAAACACATCTTGTTGACAAGTTGTGAGTGACAACCTTGTAGCAACTTGATAAAATGACAATATTGTTACAACTTGTTGACAAGCCTGCTGCAAACACATCTCGTTGACAAGTTGTGAGTGACAACCTTGTAGCAATTTGATAAAATAACAATATTGTTACAACTTGTTGACAAGCTTGCAACAAGGTTGGTGCAAACACATCTCGTTGACAAGTGTGTGACAATCTTGTAGTAACTTATAGTAATAAAATGACAACATTTTTACAACTTGTTGATAAACTTGCTACAAGCCTGCTGCAAACACATCTTTTTGACAAGTTGTGAGTGACAACCTTGTAGCAACTTGATGAAATGACAACATTGTTACAACTTGTTGACAAGCTTGCTACAAGCTTGGTATGAACACATCTTGTTGACAAACTGTGAGTGACAACCTTGTTGCAACTTAATAAAATGACAACATTTTTACAACTTGTTGACAAGCTTGCTAGAAGCCTGCTGCAAACACATCTTGTTGACAAGTTGTGAGTGACAACCTTGTAGCAATTTGATAAAATAACAACATTGTTACAACTTGCTGACAAACTTGCTACAAGCCTGCTGCGAACACATCTCGTTGACAAGTTGTGAGTGACAACGTTGTAGCAACTTGATAAAATAACAACATTGTTACAACTTGTTGACAAACTTGCTACAAGCCTGCTGCAAACACATCTTGTTGACAAGTTGTGAGTTGTCACTCACAACCTTGTAGCAACTTAATAAAATGACAACATTTTTACAACTTGTTGACAAGCTTACTACAAGCCTGCTGCAAATACATCTTGTTGACAAGTTGTGAGTGACAACCTTGTAGCAACTTGATAAAATAACAACATTGTTACAACTTGTTGACAAACTTGCTACAAGGTTGGTGCAAACACATCTTGTTGACAAGTTGTGAGTGACAACCTTGTAGCAACTTGATAAAATAACAACATTGTTACAACTTGTTGACAAACTTGTTACAACTTGTTGACAAACTTGCTACAAGCCTGCTGCGAACACATCTCGTTGACAAGTTGTGAGCGACAACCTTGTAGTAACTTGATAAAATTACAACATTGTTACAACTTGTTGACAAGCTTGCAACAAGGTTGGTGCAAACACATCTCGTTGACAAGTGTGTGACAACCTTGTAGTAACTTATAGTAATAAAATGACAACATTTTTACAACTTGTTGATAAACTTGCTACAAGCCTGCTGCAAACACATCTTTTTGACAAGTTGTGAGTGACAACCTTGTAGCAACTTGATGAAATGACAACATTGTTACAACTTGTTGACAAGCTTGCTACAAGCTTGGTATGAAAACATCTTGTTGACAAACTGTGAGTGACAACCTTGTTGCAACTTAATAAAATGACAACATTTTTACAACTTGTTGACTTGTAAACTTGCTACAAGCCTGCTGCAAACATATCTTGTTGACAAGTTGTGAGTGACAACCTTGTAGCAACTTGATAAAATGACAACATTGTTACAACTTGTTGACAAGCTTGGTAGAAGCCTGTTGTGAACACATCTTGTGAACATTGTTTCAATCGCAATTTGGAAAACAACATATAACAGTACAGGTTGCAAAGACTATCAAACTTGACAACCCTGGCATTGTTAAAGTGCTCTAGGACACTTTCAGTGTTTTACCATTGAGAACATTAGCTTACACATACCTACATTCATCAGCATCAAATCGACATTTTTCATCAAGAAAATATGGACAAGGTACCATAGATCTGTGTGTGGGGTTTGTAAATAATACACGCACCTGAAGCAAGATAAGTACAGTACAGTAAGTAACAATAATCATAATATAGCAAGAAAACACCACTCACACCTGAGTTTTCCCATACACTTTTGCCTGTCACAAGTACAGTAAGATTGGCTTAAAGTGCTATAAAACACCATATGATAATCATGACAGGTAACATCTGTCTTTGAGAGTCCATTGAGTGCCACCCAGGGTGCACGCCCCCCCCCCCAAAATATTTTGCACCCTGGTAGAACGTTTTCCACCCAACCTTGAGGAATGTGCACATCCCCCCAGAAATTTACATGCTTATTGGATTCAATGATAGTGGTGTGATTAAAAAAAGGATTTTGAACTAAATAAGTCCAAAAATCTCAAAATTTCCTGTGGTCAGGCAAAACCTTTCATCTAGTATATACCTAAATCTAGTATATACCTAAATCTAAAAAAAATACCTGTGGTTCCGGTTCCTGACCGACCCTACTTTTTTCTGCCGACCCGACCCTATTATTTTTTCAACGAGATTGACTGTGCGACCCTATTTTCTCAGGATGGTTGTGGGTTGCTCATAAAGCGTGCCAAAATGGCGTCTGTTGTCACACTAATTATTGAACCAAATTGCCTAAATTCATCCATAGGAAAATAATATGCATCTCTAGTTAATATTGATCTCAGGACGCTACTGCAAACCGCAAATCGCCCAGCAAAAAAAATGCCAAAACCATGAAAAAAATATTCCAAAAAAAATTTATTTCCGACCTACCGACCCTAATTTTTTCACGATATGAAACCGGAACCACAGGTATTTTTGTTTAGGCCTAAGGAGTCCTATAAGAATTTCTTTAGAAAATTCCTGCAGATATTCCTAAAGAGTTTCGGACTGCTTTGTATAGGAATTTATTTTTATAGGAATTTCTACACCAATAACAGAAATTTCATGTAACGAGCATCATTAGCTAGCTTTTGCAAATGTTGAACCCCTAAGTTTAAAGATTTGTACCTTTAAAGCATCAGTACCACTATTATCCGTTTCTTCAACACTTAAGACCATTGCATTATAATATCCTGCGACACCCCAGTCCTTTATCATTAAACACAAAAAAATAACAAAATTCATTTCAGGCCTCGAATTTTCCCGAAATCAATCGACGGCAATGGCGTTAAAAATTGCCGTAGAACGTACTAACAGCTGTCTACGGCAATTTTGGCAGTTTCCCCGGCATTTTTTCGAGTTGCATTTTATTGTTACTTTGGATTGCTGACAAGCTGCAAACATGTTTACGTATTTCTTTAGTGTTTTTTTTTCGAAGAAAACTGAGAGTAAATTATACAGTAGTTTACGCATGATTTGATCAACATTTGAATTCAAGTATCAAAATAGTAATGCACAGTGAATAGTATAAAAATTATACTATACGGCAAGAAATTGCTGTCGTTGCCACAATGATCCACAGCATTTTGTTCTCCCGCAATTGCCGCGACAAAATTCAAGCCCTTGATTCATTTACTTCTATTATCCAATATTTTGGGCATCTCGCCGAATAGAATTAATGTTTGAAGAGTTTTGTAGATGGGAATGTTGAGCAGAAGATTACGTACAATTTTCTGACCTAACCACAGACTCTGTAGCTCCGTTGGTTAATCGCACAACCACAGATTTCATTCCTGCCAGACGGCCCACCTGGTTAGGTCTAGAAACGCCTTCAAACATTATATTAATTAACCCAACCTTACTGCATACTCTACTTTATTATTTTAGATTTTGGGCGACTAATAAATGTCTCTATTATTTAATTTACTTGTCAAGGGGAGTGCTGCTGCTCAATGGGTTAATCAGATTATCTGCTCATGTGTCTAGTTAACCCATTAAGTTGCATTGCACTCCAATGCAGCTACTTTATTATTTTACTCTGTCTAACGTCAGACAATTTTACTCGATCGTCAAGGGGAGAGCACTAGAAGTGTTCAATGGGTTCATTTGATAGACTGTTTGATTCGCTAGAAAACATCCTATCTAGTTTGGTTTCAACTTACAAAAGTATATGGAGCTCTACATCGCGTTCCTGCAATGGATTTTTCAATTTCTGACACACAAGGCGAGGATGAGCTTGGTTGGCCTGTGTCATCTTCATAAAGTGATTCACATTGTGCCTAAATGTCAAGATGGAATTCTTGAACATAGATTTGTATTTTAAACATAACCAGGAGTAGTTGCAACAAATGCAACTATATAGTCTGGTACTCTGGCAGAAAGCGAACGTACATACAGTTGCATTTTAAGTACCTCTGTGTCACTATCGTCCTCATCAACCTCATTTAACAATTCCAGTAATTTTGTTTTCTTCACACATAATAGACTTTCTAAAAAAAGAGCACAAAACTTAGACTGTCTAAGCTTCTGTGAACACAGTGGCAATTTTGCATACAACATGAATTCTAAGTTTTGAAGGATTTGTAGGAGATGTTTGAGGGAACTGACTCAGGCCCCGTTTACACTATACCGGATTACTTTTCATACCGGATTAATTTTTACTCCGAAGTAAAAAATCAAGGGTGTTTACACTATGCCGCTTCGCTCTGTTGCCAGTTCATGTCTTTCAGTGTCGCTATGGAAACAAGTAGCCAATATACCAAAATTTATTAAAAACAAGAAGTAAAGCCCATTTTCTTTGTAAAGTATAACTTTGTTTAAAAAGCTTGACCACCAGATGTTGCTTCGTTTCGCTCTAATCCAAAATTTCAGAGTATTTCTTTAAATTTTGCTCTTTCGAAAGCAAAAAGTCAATATTATTATCGTTTTCTTTACTTGTATTCGGCAGAAATAGTAAATGGTTGCAAGGCCAAACAAACAACAGCTATAAAGTATTGTAAAAGCGAGCAAATAAAGGCGACAATGTTAAAACATACACGCCAAAACTGATTTTGTACCGAAGCGTACCGGATTAGCCTGTTTACACTGCTCTGGCACATACCGGATTACTTTTCATATCACCTCCAAAGCGGAGTGATTTTTGCTCCGCGTCGCGTACCGGATTACTGTGGCGTAGTGTAAACAGCAGCCGAATCCGGTATGAAAATCGCTATGCTCCGATGCAATCCGGTATAGTGTAAACGGGGCCTCAGTGTGTAACAATGATGGTGATAAACAATGCCTGTATTGTCTGCATCAAGTTTATTTGAAAGTTTACATCTTACCAACACATATTAATTTCCCTGGCTAGTACTATTTCAGCTATATTTGAAGGCTGGTTGTCATTAGTGTTGCCAAGTCAATGCCAACAACTTGCATTTGTATTTTCTATTTCTTTATCCCGGTTCTGGGTTTTTTGGAACAGAAAAACCTCGGTTCTGTTCGGTTTTGGTTATTTTCAAAAAAGAACAACAGTACAAATGTATGAACTCATTTATGTATGTTTCGAGCATTTTTACTAAATAGATGAATTTATGCCTTTGTAAGTTTGTATAAATCTCTAAATATTTTAAAAGAACAATTGGAATTTATTTATGAACATGAAATATATCTTTTTAAAAAGCAAGTGCACAACAATGATAGATAAAACTTTTATTTTGATAGGGTGGTCTCATCAGACCACAACTGGTCTGTTATCAACGAGAGCCCTAACTATCACAACTAAAATATCAACTATTTGAGCACTTATAGTACAGTGCATATTGTGCACAAAGAGCACAATCTTGTTATTTTCCAAACATTTTGAGCTGCAATCAGGTGGGCGTTTGGCGGGCGTTAAATGGGAAATTAAAACCGAAACTACCGGTTCTTTTATGTATAATTTTTCGGTGCTAAAAAAGTACCGGAAGAACCGAATTTTTCGGGTTAACCGCAAAGCTCTAGTGTTTTCATTTGTTTTATTATCGTAGAGTGTCTGCGACTACTGCCGACTGTCGCAACCAAACAATTTTTTTATTTCTTGCAACAGTCAGCAATGAATTACGACACACGGTTAAACTGAATCGACATCAGTGAGTGTTGCCGACTAATTGAAAACCAGCCTTGATTAGTGGTTACCTTCCGTTGTTTTGATGAGTTCAACAAGGTCATTTTTCAGTTGACTCAATTCATCATTGTTGTCAGTTTGTAGAACAGCCTCAATCTGGTTCAACTATATATACAATCAGTTCAAAACACAAATTATGTTTAAATCTATATTCACTAGTCTAATATCCTAGAATCAGTTTGTTAGTTATGTTTCTAGACTGTGTATAAATTTTGTGTTAAATAGCGTCATATATTGTTGCATTTAATATACACTAACACTCATTTATTTTTATATACGGCAACTGTTTTGTGTTAAAAAATGGTCTTTTACAGTAACACTTGTACTTACTTCTTGTTTATACTGAGTTATAGCTTCTTGGAGTTCATTTTCTTCCATATTTCTCAGTAAAACCTCGAACAAAACATTTCAATTCCACCCGCCATATTGAAATTTATTACAATACTTGGTGTAAGACTTCATCCAATTAGTAAGTAAATCGATTAATCGAATTCAGTTCGTTGGGCGTGGCCTTTAAAAACTCAGGTAATGATATCGAAATGTCACATGTTGCAACTTTGAAAAAGATTAGATCTTTGGATATTTCTATTTTTCCGAAAAGTTTATTAAAATGGGACAGTACCGATTAAAGCGGTCCTAAAATGTATTTTTTGTCTGCAAGGAGAAGTTTCATGGCACCGTTTGCCGATAATTGTAGCCCCGACCAAGTAATTCAAACAACCAAAACAGGTTGTGGAACAATATTACAACAATGTTGCTATCCAAATAGGCCCTTTGCAAGAATGGATCCTCTGCAGAAATATCTAAGAAATACCTAAGATAGCATGGTATCGCTCATAGACTGAATCGTTCAAAAAACATCTATTTCATTTTCCCCAGAAAATGGGATAAAAGCCTCGATAAAAACAAAAGAACGGCGAAACAAACATTTAGTTAGGGACGTTCTTTAATACAAAGCAAAGCTAGCCCTGTTAAATAAGGACAAATAAAACCTAAATGCGATATTAACTATATCTTAAAACAACTAATATAAACTTAAAAATTGTTCTCGTTGGATAATATATGTTTCCTATAACATTACTCTAAAACGGAATTTCCGCCTTTTTCTCCCGATATAGATACAGTGTTTGATGGGAGAAATCCTATCTGTTTCCACGACAGTTTTCCGGGACCGCTCATTAGAAATGCTAGTTCTCGGGACAGAAGAATAAAACGGTTAAAGAGGTTTTTAAACCTCTTTCTAGTTGTGGTGATTTACTTGCGTCTCTTTGCCTAGTTTTAAATTTAGTCTATAATTGGGAATTGTCTATTGTCATTTACCGAAACCTTTTCTTAGAATTTAAAAATTCTAAGAAAAGGTTTCGGTAAATAGATAATTCCCATATAGACTAAATTGAAAACTAGGCAAAGAGACGCAAGTAGATCACCACAGCTAGAAAGAGCATACAAAAATGAGTAAAATTGAAAAGTTTGGTCGCGAAATGTTGTAAAATGCGGAAAATATAGCATTGCAAAGTTCGCAAATTTTGTATACTTTTGTGCCCAATTGTTACCATTTTATTATATCATAACTGCATCAAACTTGTATGAACAAAACAACTTGTAACAAGTCTGATAATGCCATCAAGCTTGTCAACAGCTTGTTACAAACTTGTTGCAACAACTGGGAACAAGCAGTGCAAAGACAACTTGTTGTCAGCTTGTGAACAGACTTGTAACAACTTGTTTGCAGACTTGTTACAAGCTGTGCGTTTTTACGCGTGTAATGCTCAGGCATTCAAATTATTACAATAGGAAAGTTTCAAAATGTATACTTTTCTATTGGGACAGTCTGTATGTCGATGCTGCCTGTGTTTAAAATCCAGCGCAGAAAAATCTTCAAAGTTCTTGTTGTCCTACAAGCCGGTATAACTAATGAGCGGTCCCGTGCTCTGCAGCACAACTTAATTCGGCTCGGGCTTTTTCTTTAAGCATACCCGGTGTAATTTTGCATGATTCTTTGTTAGTTCAACCAAGGCTTCTTGCAACTTTCTCAAATCAATATAATAACTTTGAATTTGCTGGCCGATCTTCACTTTCTTATCTTGAATGACTTTAACGCTGGCTTCCAGTTCAATGTCCTTCGCTTCATGCTCCGCAATTTTCCTCTCAAGCTCTTCTAATTTATCGTAGTCCAGGTCCGAAATATCGCCGATGTTCGACTCGAGTTCCCTAATTTGATATCCGACCTGTTTTATAATCTCCATGACTGATTTCGCGGTCGTTTTCGATTCGTTCGCCATTTTTGTCGCGTTTTTCACCACGCGTGCATTTCTGTCGGCCTGGTCTTCGTAGTTTTTGAACTTCTTCTCCGCGTCCTTCACGTCATCGTAAACTTTCGCGTCCGGCACCTTGAGATTGTCAGTTCTGTTTTTCAAGTCTTCTGCATCCTGAATGGAAGAGATGAGAAATAAAAATTTATAGAACTTGATACTAGATTGATAACGTTAAAATGACTAGTCATTCAGCATAATGGTTGACGAAAATGTGTCATGGAATGCCCAAGTACACACTGCACGCAAGTACACATGTGTTCACAAGAGGATTGTAACAAACTTGTCAACAAGTTGTAACAATGCTGTCATTTCATCAAGTTGATACAAGGTTGTCACTCACAGCTTGTCAACAAGATGTGTTCGCATCAGGCTTGTAGCAAGCTTGTCAACAAGTTGTAACAACGCTGTTATTTTAGGGGCGGACCATTAGAAATCCCGGGAGGTGGGGTGAAAATTCCCCAAAAAAATTCGTGCAAAGAAAAATGCCTGGAAAAAAAATTCGTGCAGCCATTACGTCAGAGAAAAAAATTCGTGCAAGCAAACAGCAAAGTACAAATAGTGGTGAAAAAAAATTCGTGCAGAGGTTAAATGCATTAAAAAAAATTCCTACAGAGACATGAGACTGAAAAAAAAATTCGTGCCGCAAAAATTTTATACCCCCCTCCCGGGATTTCTAATGGTCCGCCCCTTATCAAGTTGCTACAAGGTTGTCACTCACAGCATGTCAACAAGATGTGTTCGCATCAGGCTTGTAGCAAGCTTGTCAACAACTTGTAACAATGTTGTCATTTTATCAAGTTGCTACAAGGTTGTCACTCACAACTTGTCAACAAGATGTGTTCGCATCAGGCTTGTAACACAGAGGTGTAACCTAACACTTGCCCGCTTGCCCGGCGAAAGTGAATATCATGACGGGCTAGTAAACGTTTTGTCTTGCTTGCCCGATTGGGCAAGTTGCCTTGCCACATAAACCTGGGCATCTTTAAGTTTATGTTTTCATTGTCGGATATAAATTTTGTTAACAAGCTTGCTACCAACCTGTTGAGGAGACATCTTGTTGACAAGTTGTTGGAACTGCATTGTCACAACTTGTTAACAAGCTTGCTAGAAGCCTGTTGAGGAGACATCTTGTTGACAAGTTGTAGGAACAGCACTGTCACAACTTGTTAACAAGCTTGCTACAAACCTTTTCAGGAGACATCTTGTTGAAAAGTGGTTGGAACAGCATTGTCACAACTAAACAATGTTGTTATTTTATCAAGTTGCTACAAGGTTGTCAGTTACAACTTGTCAAGAAGATATGTTCGCAGCAGGATTGTAGCAAGCTTGTCAACATATTGTAACAATGCTGTTATTTTATCAAGTTGCTACAAGGTTTTCACTCACAACTTGTTGACAAATTGTTGAATTGCAGGACGATAACAAGTTGTTTAAACAACTTGTAATGTCGAGCTTAACAACCTTGTAGCAAGTTGTCAACAAACTTGTCAACACGTTAGGAACAAGCAGTGTCAACACATCCTGTTGACAAGTTGTCTTAACAGCATAGCTACAAGACTGATGTAGGTTGTGCGTTTTTGCGTATGTATATCAACCACAAAGCTAGAAAACCAGCGTATACTCACCCCTTCCGTGGCTAACGATGTTTGTGTCCCACGATCAGCGATATCATTAGCGTCCTTGACGTCATTCTTTGCATCACCAATCTCGTTGTTGGCTTGATCAGTGTTGTTGTTGGCCGAGTCGATAAGGCGTCGAATTTCCGGGATGTCGTTTTTCGCGTTCTCGGCTTTCCTCCTGCTGTCGTTGACAATCTTGGTAAAGTTCTACATAAACATTTCAAATAAATGTAGTTTGCAAAATCTATTGACCTATTGTAACTCTAAGGGTGCCCCACGCACCGGTAGATATTATTTTTGTGGAGAGTCTAGTTGCGGAGTATTAACCACAAATTCATGTATATATAATGGTTGTTGTTGTTGTTGTTGTTGTTGTTGTTGTTGTTGTGGTCGTTGTTGTGGTCGTTGTTGTGGTCGTTGTTGTTGCCGTCGTCGTTGTTGTTGTCGTTGTCGTTGTTGTTGTTGTTGTTGTTGTTGTTGTTGTTGTTGTTGTTGTTGTTGTTGTCGTTGTTGTGGTCGTTATTGTGGTCGTTGCCGTCGTCGTCGTCGTTGTTGTTGTTGTTTTGCTGTTGTTGTTGTTGCCGTCGTTGCCGTCGTTGTTGTTGTTGTTGTTGTTGTTGTTGTTGTTGTTGTTGTTGTTGTTGTTGTTGTTGTTGTTGCTGTTGCTACTGCTGTAGTTGTTGTTGCTGTTGCTACTCTTGTTGTTGTTGCTGCTGCTGTTGTTGCTGTTGTCGTCGTCGTCGTTGCTGTAGTTTCCCCCTGATAAATAACGCCAGGTTTCCACACACCTCCAACAACACCAAATTTTCTTGGGCTACAGCTAAGGTCTTGGTAGCATTAACGATGGCATAATGTGCAGTTTCGTTCGCTTCTTTGACTTCTTTCAACAAATCGTTTGTAGTGTTTTCTGCACGGTACTGTTTCTCTATTCTTCTCTCCACCTTTCCTTTGTCAATATCTTCTCGACCACGCTTTGCTTCCTGGGCCAGACGCCTGGCTTCGGCCTGCACTTTCTTAGCTTCTTTTGTTGTGTCATCTGCCCGGGCTGAAAGAATGTACATGAAGTATAAGTCGCCTGTATAAGGTTCTCCCCAACCAGGTACACCCCCAAAAATCTCGCATCTTGTAGCAAGTCTACCAACAAGCCCGTCAACAAGTTGTGCTCGGACTGCTTGTCCCAAGTTGTCAACAAGTTTAGAACAACTTGTAACAACCTTGTTGATATTATCAGACTTGTTGCAAGGTTGTTCCAACAAGTCCGACACAGTGATGATATAACAATATTGTTACAACCTTGTGTCGTCAACCATGCGACATTCTTGTTATATCATGACTGTATCTGACTTGTTAGAACAACCTTGTAACAAGTCTGATGATGCCATCAAGTTTGTCACAAGTTGTTAACATCTTGTTCCAAACTTGTTACAACAACTTGGAACAAGCAGTGCGAACACAATTTGTCGACAGCTTGTGAACAGACCTGTAACAACTTGTTTGCAGACCTGTAACAACTTGTGCGTTTTTAAGTGTGTAATAGAGTGTTTGGCAAATACAACGGCAACGAAAACGTGATCATCAACAATAGCATCTTTACTCTAAGACAAAGGCGACTGTAATTTGCATCCCTTAAGCATTCTAGTACGCCGTAGTGGCCGACTTGTTGTACTCTTGTTAGCACACTGCCTAGGGACATGGTGGCTGCATGCCAGGTATTGACGGGTTTTTCGCCGAGTCAGACCCAGCTAGCGCGCTTATATATTATACAGGGTGTATAAAAAAAACTGAACAGATTTGAAATTGCTCTCAATTTCTCAAAACAGCTATTAGTATCCAGTTTTTGATATATATATATGGCTTCTTTGGGTACTTATAATGTAGAATGATGAAAAAAACTTCTCGAACACAAATTTTGTAAACCAGGGGGGTTGTCTTTTCCGATAAACTAAAAATGGCTTGCGCACGAGATTTAAAAGCTATAATCGTATTTTGAGTTAATAGATGAAAAATGTGTTGGGTGTTTAATTGCTGTACGAAATTTCAGACAATTTACTTCAGTTTAAGCCCTTCAACTGTTCACACAAACAAACATTTTTTCCTAAAAAATCAGAAATTTGCATGCCTAATTAATGCATTTGCCCAATTTGCATATGTCAGCAATATGCAAATTAGGTAAAGGCATTAATTAAGCATGCGAAAGGCTGATTTTTTAGGGAAAAATGGATACTGTAGTTAAAAGGCTTAAACTAAAGCAAATTGTCTGAAATTTTGTACAGTAATTAAAAACCGAACAAATTTTCCATCCATTAACTAAAAATACGATTAAAGCTTTTACATTTCGTGCGCAAGCCATTTTTAGTTTGTCGGAAAAGACACTCCCCCCTGGTTCACAAAATTTGAGTTCGATAATTTTTTTATTCTACTACCTTATAAGTACCCAAAGAAGCTATATACATAAAAAAATAGATACTAATGGCTGTTTTGCGAAATTGAGAGCAATTTCAAATCTGTTCAGTGTTTTTTTATACACCCTGTATAAGCGTCCTGGTCAGACCTCTGTCTATATTCTGTGCCAACATGAATGGGGCCCCGCACTTAGGAAGGGCCACAAAATTCAGCAGCATCTCCTCAAGATCTACTATCTCAAGCTGGGGATAATTTTGTTCTGCCTGTTACGTTCGGGCCTTGTATAATGACAATCACTATACTTTAAAAAATTCTATCTCAGATGCTATTGTTTTAGGGTCCGGATCCGTTTCTGGGTGTCCACCCTTTGGTGAAGGTGAAATTCAAGGCCCTTTTTCAGTAAATTCAAGGACCAGTAGAACTGGGAAAAATCTTTGAAAATGGCACGGATTTTAGACTTTAACCAGCAAATAATACACTTTATTCAGTAATTTTGATCAAAATCACTAATGTTGGCACAGCACAATTAATTCCAGGATTTTCAAGGACTTCTACTGATTTTCAAGGACTTTCCAGCCCTGAATTTTTTTTCCAATTCAAGGATTTTCCAGGATTTTCAAGGCCCGTGGACGCCCTTTATAATAGTATTAACTAAAAAATTATGTCTGCTTTCAAACAAATGAAGTTCATACGTTTCAATAATTCTGAAATAGTCCGTGAATACACCCGGAAAAGCCTCGTATTTATGCATGAGAGATTAAGGTTACAGGATACCCTTTTGGGCGTTTTGTGGAAAATCGCTACTGCGCGCTCAATATCAGTCCGATTTTCATCAAATTTTCACCAAATGTTCTCCAGTGCATGCAAAATATGGTAAAGTTCTAAAATTGACAAACAATGAAATAATATAAGAATTATTCAGGAAAAACTTAAATCGCGGTACCTTTACGCTTTCGAGTTATGTTCCTGCTGGTTTTAAGATATATTTATGAAAATATAATTTTTATTGTTTGTTTTTTATTTCGTCATTCCGCTGATATGGCAAATTCTTTGACGACTGCAGTGTATTTCTGAATCGTTTGAGTGAATTGCTCGTTATTATTAAAATACCCACAATTAGAAAAAAGCCGAACACACTTTTGAAACTGACGTCTGTAGCTATGTCCTGTGAAAATTGGAGAAAAATTCGTTAAAACCCGCAGGAGAACAACTCGTTTGAAAATCAGTAATTGCCGTAAAATTCTTCGGGAGAAAATTGAATTTGAATATTGCATTTTCAATGTTTTTCTTATTACAGCGAAATGTATTTTATTAAATAACTCTGCGAGTTTTCAACATTTTTCGTTCAAACTTGGTCAGATAGTAGAACCAGTCTAATGCTTTCATGGAAACCAATAAAAAAATTTTAGACAAAATTAACACTCAAAGGTGTTCTGTAACCTTAAATAAAGGGTCTATTGGCACATATCCGACATTTTACCTTTTGTTTCATTAGCTTTAACTTCATCTAGGGGGATTGCTGCCTCGTCGAGTAGCCGCTCGGCGGTATTGAAGGTATCACGAGCAACATTGTAAGCTAACGTGGCATTCGCTGCTGCGACATCAGCGAGTGTTTTCATATCATTGATTGTGTTATCAACGACTGTTATTTCCTGTTCAGTAGCCGCTTGTTGCGTCAAGACCTCGTCCATTCTGCTGTTGGCTGATTTGGAGTTATTCAAAGCTTCGTTTGCCTTCCTCTTCAATTCATGGACCTCATTCCATTGAGCGTTGGAAAGATTTTGAATCTTGATTGAAAAGAAGACATTGATATTGCTTATTATGAGATTGATTACGCTCTAAAGGCTAGCTTAGAGCCTTACGCCCATATTCTAAACACTGGAAATATTTTTGAAAATCCATAGAAGGTCATAGAATGGAAATTATACGGATCTTTATTGGAAATAGAATGGATTTTGATTATCCATAATAATTGTAATTTCCATCCTACGGATGTAGTATGGTAATAGTATGGATATACTATGGATTTAATGGTGTAATTAGCCATTCCGAAGATGATGAGTGGACTGGCGACGAGTGTTAAAAAGTGCCCAAATTACGAAATGAACCAAATCACTAAAAAGACCACCTCAAAATTAGTAAGTATACAAAGTTTGAAGACGTTTACATGAATACTCTTCGAATAATAAGCTTTCGAAAATTGTGAAATTACTGATTAAAAGATTGTTTTGGGACGCGCGTCCCCCAAAACAAAAATTACAGTACATTTCATAGTAAATATCGCGATTTTCGAAAGCTTATTATTCGAAGAGTATTCATGTAAATGTCTTCAAACTTTGTATACTTACTAATTTTGAGGTGGTCTTTTTAGTGATTTGGTTCATTTCTTAATTTGGGCACTTTTTAACATTCGTCCCCAGTCCTCTCATCAACTTCGGAATGGCTAATTGCAAATTTCATTGTATGGATTTCACATTTTTTTCCCAGTGAAAAGCTCACTCACACTCAATGAGTGGAGGTTCAATCTGAACTTCTCTTGAGTGTCTGGTACCTTACTCACCCTACAGCTATTCAAAAACAGCATTGACACTCAAGAAAAGCTCAGATTGAACCCCCACTCTTTGGGTGTAAGTGAGCTTTTAGAATACAGGAGTAAATCACAAACTCATTAACAATTCATGAGTAAATTAGACAACGGTATTGCTGTATTTTGCTCACACGATAATGCTGGCTACCTGGCGAAGTGTATAGATCCTAGGACTGGATCAAAATTAATTAAGTCCTTGGACTTGAAATCTAATCCAGTCCTCATAGCTAGTCGGATTTGAAATATTACTTAATAATCCATCATTAATAATGTGTGCGAGTGAGCTTTTAGAATACGGGCGTTAGACTATCAAAGTTTCTGAGATCACAGAAATCAAATAATGTTTTTGTAAGAATTTAGTCTGAAACATTTTGAGGGAACTGAGTCAGCGTTAAACAATGATTCAGTTCCTTCAACAATTTCTTACAATTCCTTCAAAACTTAAAATTTACCAGTGTAAACTTTGACAGTGTAAAACATTGGACATTTTCCGACCAATCACAGTTTTTCCGACCAAATGCTAAATGGACCTATTCTCCAATAACAAAATTTTGATCTAGACAAGTCTAGGCAAACATTTCACCACAGCTTGAAAGAGCATCACAAAAATAGTAAATATTCCGAAATTTCGTTGCGAAACGCCGTAAAATGCGGATAATACAGCACTGCGAAGTTTGCCGTTTTTCAGTCATTTTGTATTATGCGCGGGAAATTGATACCTTTTTTCAGAAAGCGGTATATATCAATTTCCCGTGCGTAATACAAAATGACCGAAAAACGGCTAACTTCGCAAGGCTATATTATCCGCATTTTACAACATTTCGCAACGAAACTTCGGAATATTACCAATTTTGTGATGCTATTTCAAGCTGTGATGGAATTTTTGTCTAGACTTGTCTAGATCAAACTTTTTTCATTAGGAAATAGGTCCAATCGAATAGAGATCAGTGGGAGAACAATGGCGCGCGGGACGTACCGCGCACGGATGAGGGATGTGGAAGAGCCAGGGACATTTTGTCCAGACAAAAATTAGCAATCAACCTTCTTGAAAGACTGGGCTAACCATAAGCTGCATGCAATCATCCCCGCTAAGAACATTACATGTAAAAAATTTAACTATACTGGCCACTGTTTGGCATGAAGTATTATTTATATATTGGTTTAATTTACCCAACGAAGGCACGAAATCAATGTCCGACCAAGTTTCAAAGTTTCCGATCAAATTTCATTTTGGTCGGATATTTTTCGGGAAAAATTTTGAGCGTTATTTCAGTCTCTGAATTACGCTAGGTGGATATATAACCAGAGACCTCCTTACCTCTCTAACAGTTTCGCTAGTACGAATAGTAGTTTTAGTCCAGTTAGCTAAAACTTTATAGACCAAATTGATGATTCTTTCAGTCTCATTGGCCGGACCACGAATTTGCTTTACTAGACCCCAGGACGTTCCAATGGAGCTCTCGGCCAAGTCAATTTCCCCCGAAGCATTTCTCGAGTTTTGTTCGGCATCGGCCGTTTTCGCTTCGGCGTTCTTTAATTTTGCTTCAATGGTAGACAAGGTTCGATTTACGGCGTCTAGTCTTCTCATGAGTTCTTTGTCATTGACTGAAGTGTCTTCGGCCCTCGAAAGCAGGATGAAAAGTTGTTCTTTTACGCTATTCAGACGTTTTACAAATTCTTCGTCAGGATTCGCGTCTGTGGTACCAGTACCGCTGGTAGTGTCACCCGTTGTTTCATTCAAGGCTTTAAGGATCGAACGAAGTTTGTTGACTTTCATTTGTAATTCGTCGTAGCAAGGAGGGCAGCCTAAAAAATATATGTAAATTTTCAAGGGTGGGTAGTAGCGAAGTAGTTGTAGTTCGCTACTGTAGCGAACTACAATTTTCAAGTAGCCCGGCAGTAGTTTTTGACTACTTTTTTAAAACAGTAGCTGTAGTTATAGCGAACTACATTTTGCCTAAAAGTAGCCAAGTAGTTGACTACTTTTCAAACAGCGAATCGCTATTCGCTACTTTTTAAAATTGTTAGCAACTTGATAGAATAGCATGATATTGAGGTAAAATCAATACTCAATAGTCAATTTGCACTCCTGAGCACTGTAATGCTTACAAAAATGTTGCTTTGTGCTTACTGTTGCTACTCGTAAGTCGATTTGTTATAGGTTACATTTCAGCCTGAGTTAGTAGATGCTCCAAATACAGTAAAACTAAAAAGTATAGCGTAGCGAAATAGCGAAATAGTTCGCTACATTTTTTAAGCAGTAGCTGTAGGCAGTAGCGAACTACCTTTGTTCAAAAGTAGCAGTAGTTGTAGCTGACTACATATTTTTGAAGTTGCTGTAGTTATAGCGCGAACTACAAAAATTTTGTAGTCAACCCACCCTTGTAAATTTTACTTCTCTCTATGCTTCGAACTACTAAATTCTCGATGCGAAAACGTTTCGGATGCATTGCAGGTTAATATGATGTTCCATTGAACAAGTGAATGCAATGACGGCAACAGATGGTTCTAGCTACAGACTAAATTTTGATCAAGGCAAGAAGAATAAAATCCAACACCACAGCTAGTAAGAGTGTCTTAGAATGAGTAAAACGGCGAAATGTTGTAAAATGAAGAACATATATAGCCCTGTGAAGTTCGCAAATTGTGTATATATTTGTATTACGCGCGGGAATAATAACCACTTCGGCCGAAAAATGGTTATGTTTCCGGTGTATAATGCAAATATATACAAAATTTCCGAACTTCACAGGACTATATATTCCTCATTTTACAACATTTCGCAACCAAACTTTGCAATTTTTACTCATTTTAAGATGCTCTTTCCAGCTATGGTAATGGTTTCGTTCTTCTTGTCTAGATCAAAATTTCCTCTGTATCTGGAATCAGCTAGAAAGAGCATGTTAAAATTAGTAAAATTGCAAAGTTTGGTCGCGAAATTTTGTGAAATGAGGAAAATATAGCCCTACGAAATTTGCAAATTTTGTATAAATTTGTATTAGGGACCGGTCATTATTTATGGCGGGGGGTGGCACCGAAGAGAAAAGGGTTGGGTAAACAAAATTTTGAGTAAGTAAAAGGTTGGGTAAATGAAAAACAAAACAACTCAAGGGTTGGGTAATAAAAATTTATTGTCATTTTCAAAGCATGACCCACTGAAATATTGGAGACTGAAAAGCAATGTCAACAGTCATTTGTCAATACAATATGTGAATCAATCAGAGTCACTATCTTGATCATAGTTTGACAAAACAAATTGTGTTTCCAAAGAAAGTACATGTGCAGACAACATGAAACTTTAGACTGCAGAAAATTTCACAAGCCGTTATCAAACTCATGTCACTGAAGTGATAAAGGACGTGTATGACAACTGAATGGTATCCTTTTGTTAAGTTTTTGGCCAGGGGTGGGTAGTTAATTTTTAATTGATATTTGAGGTTGGGTAATCAAATTTTTGTCTTTTTAATGGTTGGGTCAGCAAAATTTTTGACACGGAAAACATTTCTCTTCGGTGCCACCCCCCGCCATAAATAATGACCGGTCCCTTACGCA